TAAAACATGGAGGAAAAAATTCTTCTTGGAGAGTATGTATGAGACAGCCTGTGGTACACACCCAGGTAGTGAGGGGGCAGAGCGGGGGGCTGTAAGGCTCTGTTCACTCATCCTGAGCCCAGACCTCTGGGCAGGAAGCCTTGTTCTTTTCAAAGCAAACTGCTTGTTTTTCCCTGCATGAATAATGTATGTTCCTTAAAAAACACAAAGAGAAAATACAGAGAAGCAAAAAGAAGATATAAATCATCCACAACTCATCACCCAGATGCATATTTATGCTTCCAGATATTTTTTTCTGAATCTGTACATGGAAATGTAAAAAATGGCATCATTTATATTATTTGTAACCTGCTCTTTTCACGCCACAGTTCATCGTGGCCATCTTTCCATGTCACTAAATGTACTTCTGCGATATCTTTGTAAATGATATCACAACCAGATAACAATGACAATAATTTGTATAGTGCTTTATAGCTTACAAAGCACTGGGCATCCATTATCTTATTTCAGCTCTTGGCCTTCCGGCATGAAGGTCTCTCCCCTGGGAAATTCTGCTTCCAAAAGAGGCACCCCTGCCTCCTTCACACCTGTGCCTCCCAGGCCCCAGAAGTCGCCGCCATCTAGGGAGGGATGCTGGCCAGGCCCCTTCTCCCTCTCCGCTTCTTGTCTGACCCTGCTGTCAACTTCTGTCGTTTTTGTCTCATTTTCTTGAGAATCTTTCTTCACAGTCTCAGAATTTCCTCCTGGCTGCCACCTTCGTCTTCTCTGATTCATCTATATCCTCCCCTGTCTCCTCCTGCGTGTCTGCCCACCCTGCTTCTCCTGTCCGGTTCTGCTTAAGACACAGCGTGACACACCTGGGAAGCTGGGAGCCAGAGCGGGCCCCCAGGATGGGACCTGTCTCATCTCCGGAAACGACTGAGCAGAAAGTCCCCCTGTTGTTCACAAGTGGGGAGGGTTGGGGGACAGACCCACAGACATCAAAGGGGCAGGGCTGGGTAAAATGTCCCGGGGTGTCCTCAGGGCTTCTACAGCTGTGCATAGGGACGTTTCTGAGTTTCTGTCTCCCTACCGCTGCCTCTCTCTTCCACACCCCACTCTGTTTCTTTCTCTCCTCATGACCTACCTGGCATCTCCATTCTTTCTTGTCCTCCCTCTTACATCTAGAGGCCTTGGTGCTTGACAGCTACCTCCCTCTGTGTGGAAGGAGAGGTGGGGAGAGAGACAAGAGGGAATGCCCTCTGTCCCTGAACTAGCCTCACTTTTTGGCCCTGGAACTTCAGTCCTACCTTCATCCTGTGAGTGCTTCCCTTATGCCCCTCCCTCCTTCCTCCTCTTTCATGGTGGGAGTGATGAAGCCAGGGAGAGGCTAGACTCTGCCTGCAACTCTGGGCCTGCTAAGTCCGGGAGGCCAAACCATTCAGATCTGCTGCCTTCACAGGACTGAATGAGGAGCATATTTCACAGGGCTGAATGAAGAGCATATCTAAGCTGGGGCTGGACAAGCTATGCAATTAGCCAAGATCCTGGGCAGGAGTCTAGATCTCCTGGCTTTGGAGAAGGGCAAATACTTCAGAGTTAGGGAAATCCAGATATCCACACCCAGGGATCACCCCACCCCTCGCCACACCCACTCTGAACAGTTGCCCCATGGCCCATCAGGCCACTTTTTTTTTTTTTTTTTGAGACAGAGTCTGGCTCTGTTGCCCAGGCTGGAGTGCAGCGGCCAGATCTCAGCTCACTGCAAGCTCCGCCTCCCAGGTTTACACCATTCTCCTGCCTCAGCCTCCCGAGTAGCTGGGACTACAGGCGCCTGCCACGTTGCCCAGCTAGTTTTGTTTTGTTTTTTTTTTTGTATTTTTTAGTAGAGACGGGGTTTCACCGTGTTAGCCAGGATGGTTTCGATCTCCTAACCTCATGATCTGCCCGTCTCGGCCTCCCAAAGTGCTGGGATTACAGGCTTGAGCCACCGCGCCCGGCCAGGCCACTTTTCAACAGCAAGGACATCAGAACTCTGAGCCATGTGGCCCCTTTAAAGAGTGTGCTTCAGCCAGGCATCAGCTGCAGCTGAGGACTTGATCTCCAGCTCCTGTCTCACCAAGTGCCCTTCCCGTCAGACTGTGCATCCGGGGCTCACCAAGCACCTTGGGCTTCAACTGTGTACCAGGGGCTCACTAGGTACCTTGTGCACTATGTGCCAGGGCTCCCCAAGCACCCTTCACTTCAGCTTTGCATCCAGGGTCCAGGGGCTCACCGAGTATCATCTGCACTAAACCCATCCCCAGCTCTGCCCACCTGGATTCCTTATTTGGCACACATTCAAGAGGATGCTACATTCCCCACCCTCTCCAGCAGTGGATGGTGCCACCCTAGTGACCACTTACTAGTGGGGCCTTGGACAAGTAACCCAGAGGGGCTCAATTTCATGGTGGATGACCAGGAGATGACCCAGGTGGTTCAAGCTCTCTGCCTCCTGTGCAAAGAGAGGGGGTGGGCAGGGAGTGTCAGCACTTTGTCAGTTGACCTCACAGGGCTGGGAGGAGACCAAAACTTCAGTCCCACCGCTGGGAGCAGGTGGTGTTGGCCTGAGGAGTTGTGCATGGGAGTCTCTGGCTGGAAGCAGGAAGACCTTTGCTGTGGGTTGGCGGTCATATACTAACATCCCCTTTGTCCTTAGCCCTCAACAGAACCTGGAGAAGATGTCAAACAGCTAATGGACCAGGGGAAGAGCTTCCACAGTGTGTCGACACTGGGCCAAGGGCAAGGTCCAAAGTGTCTGCTCCAGGACTGCCCCTTGGCTGGGTGTCTGAGACCTGGCACTCTGCCATCCAAGTTCCCGGGACTTGGAGCTTGGTATTACAGGGCGGGATAAAAGACGTTGGTAAAATCAGGTGTCAGAAGCTGAGCTCTCATGTCCTTGTACCCCATTCTTCTTTCTACTTGGTGACAGCCAGGAACAACCCTCTGCTCCATAGCCAGAGCCTAGAGGAAGAATAACTGTGAGCCCAGAGGAAGAGGAGCCTCATCTCGCTGCCACCGAGGACTGGCTCAGTGGCACAGCTCACCTGACTTCAGACCATTTCTACCTCCTCCCCTAGGCCTCTGGGCCTCTCTCCCCAGAGAACTCCAACCTGTTCTCCCGGCCCCTACAAAGATGCACCAGTTGTTCCTGAGCTTAGAGGGGGTAGGGTATGAGATCCAGAGTCCCCATGGGTGGAGGATCTGCCACAAGGCCACAGGGACAGTTTTGAGGGATGGATGGTAAACATGCCATTCTTTTATGCTCACCTGTCTTCTCCCAGCCAGCTACAGGGTTTTTTTTATTATTTATTTATTTATTTATTTATTTTTTTCTGGAGTTCTGTCTGAATCTGGGGAAGAGGAGGGGGACCAAGATGGGTGTTTCTGGATTTTAGTCGCTGCATTTACTGTTCTGCCTCTGTAGTAGGTGTCCATCCTTCCTTCTCCAGGTCAACCTGTTGTCTGTCTGCAACTGTCTCTCAGATAGGAGACACGTCTTCCCTCCCCAAAGCTTCCCTGTGGCGTTGGGAAGTCCCTCCTGAAGTCCAACCTCCATCTATCTTGCTACCTAGTTAAATCCACTTCTTTTCTGGGACTTGGACAGCAATAGAGCTCGTTTCCTAGCATCCCTACATCCTTCCCCCAGAAGTATTTCTGGACCAGCCACCACCTGCCCATCTTTGCAGATGCAGCCCCGACGGCATATTAATGAAGCCCTCTTTTCTTCGACTTCCAATCCCTTCCTTAAGCATTTCTACATCCAGACAACCAGCACTGTGAGGGTTAGGGGGCATAGGTGGTGGGGAGAGGGGTTGATCCCACTGCTGCCCTGTGGGCGTTTGCAAATGCAGGCGTGCCTGTGTGCTCTGTGTGAGTGTGCAGGTCTCAGAGCCAGGGCTTGCGTGGAGTCTCTCCACCATTCCACCCTCCTGGAGGCCTCTCAGAGACCCAGCAACAGAAGGCAGGGAAGCCCAAACTCCCCAACTTTCTCCCTTAGCTGCGGTTCTGCTGATGACCATTAGGGGTCACTGTTGCTTCAGTCACCAATGCGGGGCAGGGGCGGGGTGGGGCTCCACACAGGTGGTCCTTGCTGCCCACCCTGACCCTGTGGGGATAACAGGGTAGTTGTTGTCATAGAGACGGCCTCACGCAGACTCGTGCCCACTCCACTCTGGTGTGAGGGAGCTGTGGTTTGCAGGACAGCTGCTGGTGGGCGTGAGCAAGGGTGCACAGAAGGGCTCCTCTTGCCAGACCCAGAGCACGTGGCATGTGTGTGGCATGGCAGCTATACCCCAAGCCCTTGGGTGCAGGAAGCTAAAGAGTTCTGAGCCGTGGGCAGCCCCTCCTGCTGCCACCCCCTTCATCAAGGTTTGAAGTCATTCTTTTGCAACCTTTCCCTCTCAAATGCCCCCATGGCACTGGCAGAAAAACCTGGGAACTGACTCTCCTGTGCAACATCCACATGCCTCAATGGTGTCTCAGATGAACACTGAGATTCTGGCCTCCCAGGATAACCACGGGGTGCCAGACGCACAGACCTTGCTCTGCTGTGTGTCCCCTGGCTTGGGTGGGGGCATCTGGCATGAACAGGTGATGTCATCAGGGCCTCTCCCCTGCCCCATGTCTGACCACTTAAAGTGTGTCCTATGACACTCCAGAAAATACCTATCCAGTGGACCGATATAACAGACATAACAAGGGATGAAATTAAGATGAGATGTTGGGGACAGGTTGGTTCTGCTTGGAGGCCAGACACAAAGGTTCCCTGCCGGGCTCAACCACTCCTGGTCCTGAGCAGGAGATAATTGCAAATTGTTCTGCCTCACTGCCATGGCAACCCTGGCTGCTCGGGTCCTCATGGAGGTGGTGTTTGACAGCAGTGTATTTATCCTGTGTCTCTGCCTTAGGGTCACCACCTCGAGTCCCAGAGGAGGGAGAAAGGAAGTTCATCTAGTGTTAACACCATGTAGATGGAGAGATAATGGCTGCCTGGGACCAGGGTACAAACAGGCCTCGGCATTTATTGCGCCTTCTCCAGTCTTCCCATGAGAGGCAGGGGTGGGGGCAGGGCTGGGCGAGGGTGAGGGGAGGGAGGAAGACCAGGCTCTGAAAGCCTTAAGCATCCAGGGCTAATCATTGAGGGGAGGGACTGGAGAAAGGGTGACCATACTCCAAGGGATGCCCCTGGAAGATAGGAGGAAGGAGCACCAAGCTTGGGGAGCCCTGGGCAGGGCAAGAGGAGAGGAGGAGGTGAGGGCAGGCAGGCTGGGAACCACTCCCCAGGCCCTTGGATTCTCCCCATGCCACCTGGTCAGTGGAGCTAAGGGGAGGAGTTGAAAAGCAGTGGCAAGCAAGGGAGTCATGTGAACCCCCCACCCCGCCTCCCACACATGCATGGAGAGCGCCCCAGGCCTGCTTCTGATTGCTCATCTAATTTCAAACATGTCGATGGCCCTACCTGTCCACAGGAGACCCCAAACTGAGGGGCAGGACCTCTAGGGTGGGCGGGTCCCCTCTTCCTAGTCTGAGTGGGGTCCCTTTCTCTGAGGGCAGGATGTCTGTCCCTGGCCTGATCTCCACTCCTCTGGCTTTGCCCCTGCTTGCTTTCCCCCGAGGGACTCAGAGTCTGAGAAGCTCCTATGGTGAGACCCCTCTGCCCACCCCCACAGCCTTCCCTGCTCCTGTTCTCTGCCCCACCCTCGGCCACCCCTTGCCATGAGTGGGGGTGGGGATGAACATTCAGACGTCTCAGCCACAGAGGTCGGGTCCCTTCCTCTCTCCCCATGGGAGGCCAGCCAGCCAGGGAATGGGGTGCCCCTCAGTGCCCTGGACCCCCATTTTGAGGGCTGCAGTCTGATGAAGCCCCTCTTGGGGTGGGTGAGGAGTCAGGTTCTGCATCGGTGGGAGGCAGGGAGCCCCGGGCCCCCTGGCACTCCGAGCTGTAGTAGAAGGAGAGGAGGCGGAAGGAGGGCCGAAGCTCCTCCTGTATGCTGTCCAGAATGTGCGTGAAAGATGGGCGCAGGCGTGGGTTCGGCTGCCAGCAGCGGCTCATCAGCTCCTGCCTGGTGGGTGTGGGGAGCAGGGTCAGAGGCATCCGGGAGCCCCTGCCGCACTCTCAGCCTCCTGCACTGAGGGTCAGTTGGTAGGAGTGGGGATCGTGGGCCATTATGCCTGGGAGAGTGAGAAGGGATTAAATGGGAGTCGTGGGAGTTTGGAACGGGGGGCGCTCATAACTGAGGGTCAGTGGATGTCAAAGCATCAGAGGAGGTGAGCCAGAATCGTGGGGCCGGGTGGGGGAGGGTTGTAGGTAGATCATCAATGAGGAAGGGGCAGGGGAGGTGACTCACAGCTGAAGGGGACAGCCCTCCAGCTCCTCCAGGACCCCGCCATCCATGACGAACTTGAGCACCTGCTCATTGGACAGGCCCTGGTAGGGTTGTTCAGCCAGGGTCACAATCTCCCAGAGTACCACACCGAAGGACCTGGAGGGCATGCAGGAGCTCCTGAGCCCAGCACCCTTTGTGCTGCTTGGTGCACTCCAAGGGACGGGGGTGTTCCAGGCCCCTCCCCAGATCCCACCTCCACATCCCTGGAGCCCTGTGCTCCAGCTCGGCCCCACCAGACATCCGAGTGGGTGGTGAAGATCCCATCTTTGAGGGACTCAGGGGCCATCCAGCGCACGGGCAGCAGCCCCTTCCCACCCTTGCGGTAATAGTCTGTCTCATACACGTCTCGAGTCATCCCGAAGTCTGGAAAGTGAGGGAGAGGGTGGAGGAGGCGTGGGGCATAAGAGCCACACACTTGCTCCTGCCCCTGGAATACCTCTCCCAATCTTCTCATCCTCCAGAGTCACCAAGAACCCTGGAAAGTAGGGGCTCAATGGACCTCAGAGCTCATCCCATCCAAACCCCTCTGCCCTCAGACAAGAGACTAAGATCCAGAGTGAGGGTGACTTGCCAAGGGTCTCACAGGCTGTCAGGACCAGGGCTGTGGGTTTCCTGATGCCTAGCTTAAGGGAGTCTCTCTACTTTTCAGGCCGCCCTCATCTGTCTGGCACCCTCTGTACCCCCGATCTTGACGGTGAAATCCTGGGACACCATGCAGTTGCGGGCTGCTAGATCTCGGTGCACAAACTTGTTGGCAGCAAGGTAGGCCATGCCGTCTGCAATCTCACCAGCCATCTGGATCATTTCCCCCAATGCTGGCTGTGGGAGCCCAGGGTTGTTCTAGAGTCAAGATTGGGGGCTGGTGAGGAAGGAACCCAGAGGCTGGTCTCCTGTCCAGAACTGGCCCCCACCTCCCACACTGTGCCCAACCCTTCTCTCACCCCCAGCCCCTGGGCTCGCTCAGGGTCTTCCTGTTCCCTACCTCTGCCTCAGGCCGCAAAGATCGAAGATGGCTCTTGAGGTCCCCATGGGTCATTAACTCCATGATGACCAGAGTTGGCTGGCCCTGAGACACCACACCCAAGAGACGCACCTGGGACAGACAAAGGGCCTAGCAAACCCCCTAGCTCCCATTGACCCATTTGGCCAAAAGCCTGATCTGCTATGACCACAGTCTGACTCAGACACCAAATCTGACCCTAACCCCAACCATGACTATAACCTGACTCCTGACCTAACAATGACCCTGACCCTAACCCATGACCTTCATCATATCTGATGATCATCACAATCATGAACTTAGCCCAACTTTGGCCTTGAGCCCAATCAGGACTCTAATAATGATCTGGACACCCAATATTGAGCCCCAATCATGACTGATCTCAGCCCTAGCCATGACTCTACCATGGCCCTACTATGACGGTTTGACTCTAACCCTAACCATGACCTTCACCCCAATTAGGATCCTAACCATGGTCCCAATCTTGACCTTAATTGTGCCCTAACCTCATCTCTGACCCTTTCTTTCTTACCACATGACCTTTACACTAATTATGACCCTGACAATGCCTCTGGCTCTCCCTTACCACATGGTGACACTTGAAGGCTTTCATGACAGAAGCTTCCTTGAGGAACTCAATGCGTTCCCGTGGGCTGGCCAGCTCATTCACTGTCTTCAGGGCCACGGGTGTGGACTCCTCTCCAGCCTCAAGTCCTCGTGCCAGGCCCTCATATACCATCCCAAAAGAGCCCTGGCCCAGTTCCCGGATTATCGAGATCTGCTCCCGAGGCACCTCCCACTCATCAGGGATGTACACTGCAAAGAGTTGGAGGGTTGCAAAGCAAAGATGCGCTCTCTGCCACACCTCACCCGCCAACTTCTCTTCTCTTCTGAAGGGTTCCGGTCCCAAGGCTATCTTCTGCAAGAAGGTCTCCTGGATGTCTGTCTCTGCTCCTCTCCTGTCTCCCTTTCCCATACCACCTGTCCACCCACTCCCAGACCTACTATCAGAGGCGCTGAAGTACTCCGGATTCACAGAAGCATACAGGGTTCTGTTTCTGCAACGGGAGGTGAGGGCGTCAGGTTGGAAGGGTTCTCAGGAAGGAATGAGCAACATCAGAAGGAAGAAGGACATTTCAAGGAGAAGGGAAGTTACTGACCACACCCCCAGCCTTGGTCAGGGTGACTGCTGGGGATCCCTAAGTACCCTCCAAGCTGGCCTTGGCCCTATTCCTGGTTCCGACAGGGAATAGGGAGGATACAGGAGTAAAGGGGCTTCCACCCTATCAGCTAGTCCCTATAGCCAAGCTGATCAAGGTCCAGCCCCGTTTTCCTCTTGCAGTCAGCCTTGGAAGGATCTGACATCAGGCATTCTGGAACACATCCCCAGGCCTCCTGCTTCTCCTCCTAATAAGGGACCAGCTTTATTATTTCTCAGCTTGCGCTGAGATTGTGGTGACCAACAATCCCAGTGTGGCTGGAATGAGGGGTTTCCTAGGATGCGGAACTTTTACTGATAAAACCAGGAAAATCCCAGGCTAACCCGGATAAGTTGGTCACCCTAGCTGAGAGGTATGTTTCCTCCATGTCACCACAGGGGAAGAGTTACTGTCTGTATGGAAGATCTGTCTTTCTACTGTCTCATCTACCTCCCTTTGACAGACTTTATGATGAGGGCTCAGGGAGAAAAGGGGGTGGGGACTGGTGGGACTTATCATCACCTCTTCTTGCCGTAGAAGAAACCAAGGGCAGCAAGAACGATGAGCAGCATGAGCCCCACAGGGGTGGCAGTGAGGAGGACATGCAGCCCCCCAGCATCCTCCTCCTCTGGCAGTCAGAGGGCAGCAGAGGGTAGAGTCAAAGATGTAGAAGTCAGAGAGAAGGCCATGCTTCTCTTTCCATGCTGGGAGGTGAGGATGGGGAAGGATGCAGGGGAGGGGCTTGTGGTGGGCTGGGGACCAGGTGGGGCTTTTCGGTGATACAGGTCTGTGACAGAGGCTGCGTATACCTGGGCCAAGGATGTAGAAGGCAACACTGTCTGTCCAAGAGCCATTGCCAGCCAGTGAGGTTGCCCTAACCCTGGCAGAGTAGTTTCCAGGGGGCAGCAGGGCCAGGTGGACTCCCCCAAACTTCGCATATCGAAGACGGGACACACAAAGCACTGTGGCCTCCTGAGAGTAACCCAGAACAGCTGGCTGGGAAAGCGATGTAGGCACAAAACGGGACTGGGATGGGGATCCCACGGGCACCTACCTCTCCCAAGCGGCGGTACTTGATTTCGTACTTGAGGATGAGTCCGTTGGGGTCTGGTGGCTCGAGCCAGCGCAGGAGGACACTGTTCTTGCTGGAGGCCTCCCAGGCCACCTTTCCTGGAATACCATCAGCCTCTCCTGCGGGAAGGGGCATCCAGCAGCCAGGCCAAAAGTGGTTCATCTCACTTTATGTTCAAACCCAAGCTAAACTGGGCTGAGCTGGGAGGTGGGGAAAGCTTTGGGATTATGGGAACTGAGAGGAGCAAGCAAAGCGAGGCTCTGGGGTTAGCAAGAAGTCAAACCCCAAACCCTTGCACAGGGTCCTCGGGGTCGGTGATGGGGATAGAAGGTGCGTGTGTGGGTCACCTACTGTGGGGCATGGTGCGCGCAAAGACGAAGGTGGCGGCGCTGCAGCCCACGGTGTGCGCCGCGTGGTTGCAGGCATGGATGTCGATTCGGTATTCCGTGAAGTGGCGCAGGCCGCTCAGCACCGCTCGCTCACGGGGTACCTTGTCCTCCTGGATCTCGAAATCCGAGCTGTTGTCCCCCAGCCGGAGGGGCCCAGTTGCCCGGCGGTGCCGCCCGGAGTCCCTGGGGAGAGCGAGTCAGAGCCAAGGCCCAGCCCCAAAAGCCACGCCCCTCAGCCACGGCCCTAGTCCTTCTCACCTTTGGGGGCTCTTGTTGATGGACGTCACCTTCCAAGGGGATCTGGGGAGGCCAGGGGTAGCCCTATCAGGCCTGTCCGTGTGCATCCCTACGCCGTCTGCAGCGCGCACTGCCTCCAAAAGCACCCACAACCCGGGCCCCGCCCACACAAGCAAGGCTCCGCCCACAAACCCCACCCCTCCAGCAAGACCCACCCCTCACAGGCCCCACCCATCAGACCGGCCCAGGCCGCGAGCGCTCTTCGCACTTGGGGATGGTGATCGCGTTGTGTAGAAAGTTTTCAAACTTCTTTTGGAACGAGGCCTCTTGCGCCTCCAGCGGGGGCAGAACCTGACCAGGAGGTGGGTGCTGGCAAGGGCAGCAGCCGGACTCCATCTCTGCCTCAGGATCTCCGTCTTCGCGGTCGAAGCGCGGGTCATTGTTGCTGGTGGGCAGCCGCAAGCCTGGCGCCGCAGCGGGAAGACACTAGTAAGACAGGCCGTCTACCCGCCCCTGATTCCCCCATCTGCCCCGGCCCTGCGCCTCCATCTTCCCTTCCCCACCCGCCCCACGGCCGGCCTGCGCGTCGTCCCTGCCCACCGCGGTGGCAGTAGTCATTGAGGTAGAGGTCGCCGTCCTCTGCCAGCCGCTGCCACAGCACCAGGTAGTAGGTGAGGTTCCCGTTGCGCTGGGTGGGTGGCTTCCAGCGCACCAGGAGGTGGGAGGAGGAGTTGGACGTGGAGATGACGTCCTGGGGCACCGTGGGAGCTAGGAGTGCGAGAAGGATGCAACTCAGGGGTTGTGGGGCTTCCTCTTGAATACTGTCTAGTAATGAGCCCCTCTCTCTGGGGTCCAACAGCCCTGTTCTCCCGAAGAATAGGTGATCCTCATCTCTGCTTTCCTAGAACTCACTGTTTTGTTTCTGTCCTCCCCTTCTCTGCCATAGGCCCTTGAGTTCCCTCAACTACTGACTCTGGACTGTCCCAATCCCAGCCCCGCAAGGACCTAGGCAGATGCCCCGTCTTCTTTCTAGGACTCAAGCATCTGGCCTCCCAGCCTCTGTGGGCCAGGTGTTCAGTGCTGCGGCTTCTCTATTTCTGATGTCTGTGTTCCCCTGTTCTCATGGATGCAGGCGTCTGACTGACTCTTGCGCCCTCCAAATGCTTACCTGCAGGCAGCGTTCGGAGGTAGACGATGGGACTCTGGGCTCCTTGATGGGGGCTGTCCTCATCAGTGGTTAGCGTTATGGCCCGCACAAACACTGCGTACTGTGTCCAAGGCTTGAGGGAGGCTAGGGTCACCCCTGGCTCCTGGGTGCGGCTTAGGGGCAGCTCCACATCCAGCAGGTTCCAGCTCTGGGTTCCACAAGCATCTGGACCCACGTGCTCTGTGGCATTCTGGAATGGGCTGAACACCCATCCCCAGAGCTGAGGGGTCATTCAACCCCACCCCCAAGTTCTGGCACCTCCCCGCCCCCTCCCCCGCACTGAATCACTCCAGGACTATCATTGTCCTTCTTCCAGTACGTGTGAGGGCAAAGCCATGACTCCAGCCACCTGTTAGACCCTGGCAAAGGTGGGGAGGGGACGGCCTTTGATATCTGTGTCAGTGAAATTTGTAACGATGTATCTCCTCATCCTTAGCAGGGAATATCGAGCTCTAGCTTCAATGAATATTGAACAAATCTTGCATTGTATAAATAAAACAAGAAAGTGTGTGTGAAAGAGTCCCCTCTCCTAGAAACAGCAAGCAATAAGGTTATCCTAATTCCCCTAAGTGTAATTGCCTGGAACCAGGACCTGGAGACTGCTCCCTTCCCAGTATCTTCACTTAGGCCCTTGAATTGACTTTGGAGGTTTATGAGCCTCCCAAACTATAGGGAAAGTTTGGTGCATGTGTGATTTTCTAGAGGGTTCCTAGCTTCAACAGCTCCCAAACATGTCCATGACCCTAAAAGGCCAAGATCCATTGCCACAGGGAAATTAAGGGGCCAGAGGCAACTAGTGCTGGCTGCCTGAAGGCCAGTTTCGGGGCAGGGCTTGGGGAAGTATCACTGGCTTTAGGGGTAGAAGAGGGCTCCCTGGGGGAGATGAAAGTGGGACCCACATGGGAGATAGCAGAATAGACCACGGGAGACAATGGAACATCACACTGATGTTCATGATATTTGTTTCTTTGGTTTGGGAAGGGGGTGATGGAATTCATGTCGAGCCAGGGACAAAACTTGAGGGAGGTCATATTGGGTGGTGATGGGGGAACTTGTGGCCCAGCTGGAAGTGCCTGCCTTTGTTGGGACCTATAAGCAGGATAGTCCAGGAGCATCTTGGGGAGGGGTGCGCAGGGGCTCATAGTGGGTGTCATGGGAGCAGGTGTCCTGTGAGGCATGACACACTGAGCAGGTCTGGGTCTGTTTGGAGTCAGGGTTGGGCAGGATCTGCAGTGTGTGTCTCTGAGGGAGCATAGTTGCAGCCACACTGCAAGGCAGTGATGTTAGGGAAGCTTCTTGAAGGACTCCCAAGGTTCTCTGCTCTTTGAGCCCAGAGACAGCTGTGTATAGTTGTGCCGATTGTGAAGTGCCCAAGCCGGGGAGCCAGGGGAGATTCACATTGTAGTCAGGCCAGTGCTCCATAGAGTGCAGTCCACAAACCAGCAGCTTCAACATCTCCTAGGAGCTTATTAGACATGTAGATTCTTGGGCCCTACTCAGGATTAACTGAATCAGAATTAGTGAGGGTGAGGCCCAGGAATTTGTATTTAACAAACTCTCCAGCTGCCCATGCTAGAGACCTTCACCTACCACTGAGACCTAGGAGAGTCTTGGCCATTTGAGTGGGTCTCCTACAACTGACTTCCTTCCTCTGTCCTCCCAAGCCAGACCCTGAGCTGGTGGTCAGCTAAGTTATCTCCATTCTAATTCACAGGAAATGCTTCTAAGCCAGGTGGCCTCCATCTTCTATACTATCTATCAGAGAGAGAGAGAGTATGAACTCCTTACTCCTGCTCTCTCAGTCTACATTCGAAATCCATCTGCCTCCTCTAAGGATGTCTCCTTTTGATTCCTAGCCGTGTTTTTGGAGAAGTCCTTCCTGTGGTCTAACCACTATCCTTACTGTTAGGGTCAGTTGACTCTCGCCAAAGAAAAGAGCAGTGTGGTCCCTGGCGGCCCCTGCTCCCTCCCTTCCTAAGGCTTAAATGAAATGCTGGCAGAGCTGCTCATAAAACTGGCCAAATTAGTGGGCGCTCCCCAAACCGCTGCTGGGGCAGGAGCGTGTGGTCAGTGTAGAACATTAGCATAATGAATTGAAGTTTAATGATCCAAGCCTTCCCAGCACGATGGCTCTCCTGGGCTCTCAGAAGCCCTGTCTTCTCCATTTCACTTGGTGAGGGGAAACCGAGGCACGGAGGCATGAAGAAGGTGAGAGAGCCAGACCTGGACCCTACCACGGAGTACAACTTGGGGGTCCTTGAAGACAACTGGGTCTTCATAGCCTCGCTGAGCTCCGCCCTCACCTGCCTGTGGTCCCTAAGAAATTGGCCTCGTCCGGCCCCGCCCCCGCTCCGGCCCCGCCCCCGGCACTCACGACTCCTTGTAGTACACGATGAAGCTGAGCAGGTCGCGGGCCTCCAGTGGCTCGTAGCGCTCCCAGCGTAGCAGGATGCGGTCTGCCTCCGTCACGTTGGACACGAAGCGCAGGGTGCGAGTCTGGCCTGGGTGGGAAGAGGGGCCTGCTCTCAACCACGCCTGCCAGCTGCTTGAGCGCCCACCCTGACTCCGCGGCATCCCATTCCCAGTGAGACCACGAAGAGAACTTCTCAGGCTGTCCCCCCTCGAGCACCCCTCCCCCGGGTGCGCGTGTCTAGTGTGTGGCCGCTTGTCCACAGGCACTGGGGTTGGGGTCTCACAGGCGGCGCGGTCTCCGTTGGTGCGGGGGTTGATCTCAGCCTTGTTCTGCCGACCTCGTGTGCCGGTCACCTCCTCCAGTCGGTAGATGTGCTCCAAGCAGAGGCGCGGGTTGAAGGCGAAGTAGATCTTGCCCACGGGAATGGTGAGCCCCGCGGCCACCCAGGACCCTAGCTGCTGTAGGTTCTGGTTGTCCAGCACGTAGAGAGTGTAGTTCCTGGGGGAGGCCAGTGGACCTTGCTTTGCGGGGAGGTGGGGGCAGGGGGTAGGAAAGGGGATGGCTTATGGGTTCCTCCTGGAGGGGTTTTGCTGAGCCCACAGAGGGGGGCACTCAGTGGCCGGCTCACACCAGCACACCGGGGACATTCGTGCATACCCACTCTGTGCCACTGACCAGGGGTATGATGTCTGCCAAGTGACCCCATCTTTTGGTTTTCCTCATCAGTGAAATGGGATCCACAGCTTCCCTGCCCCCATCCTTCCCTTGACTCTCTTTGAACTGAGCACCTGCGGCCGGGCACGGTGGCTCAAGCCTGTAATCCCAGCACTTTGGGAGGCCGAGATGGGCGGATCACAAGGTCAGGAGATCGAGACCATCCTGGCTAACACGGTGAAACCCCATCTCTACTAAAAAAATACAAAAAACTAGCTGGGCGAGGTGGCGGGCACCTGTAGTCCCAGCTACTCAGGAGGCTGAGGCAGGAGAATGTCCTAAACCCGGGAGGCGGAGCTTGCAGTGAGCTGAGATCCGGCCACTGCACTCCAGCCTGGGCGACAGAGCAAGACTCTGTCTCAAAACAACAACAACAACAACAACAACAACAACAACAACAACAACAACTGAGCACCGGCTATGTGCTAGACTCTGGAGGCTTCGGAGACAGGAGGAGGAGTGGTGCTCAGCCTGGGCCCTTCCTCTCCAGCTGAGGTGTGGATAACCCTGGGGTACATGCAATGTGTCTGGAGACATGAGAAGCCACAGGGAGTCACTAGACTAGATGGTAACTTTGTTTTTTTTCCTCACTCTGTCACCCAGGCCAGAGTGCAGTGGCCCAATTGTGGCCCACTGACGCCTTGACCTCCCGGGCTCAGGTGATCCTCCCACCTCAGCCTCCTCAGTAGCTGAGACTACAGGCATGCACCACCACGGTCGGCTAATTTTGTATTTTTTATAGAGACCGGGTTTCACCATGTTGCCCAGGCTGGTCTCTAACTCCTGGGTTCAAGTGATCCTCCCACCTCAGCCTGCCAAAGTGCTAGGATTACAGGCGTGAGCCACCGCATCTGGTCTGGATGGTTATTTATTTATGTATGTTCTGAGCCAGTCTCCCTCTGTCACCCAGGCTGGAGTGTGGTGGTGTGATCTCAGCTCACTGTAACCCCTGTCTCCCAGGTTCAAGCGATTCTCCTGCCTCAGCCTCCTGAGTAGCTGGGACTACAGGTACCCACCACCACACCTGGCTAATTTTTGTATTTTTAGTAGAGATGGGGTTTCTCCATGTTGGCCAGGCTGGTCTCGAACTCCCGACGGCGTGTGATCCCCCTGCCTCGCCCTCCCAAAGTGCTGGGATTATAGGCAGGAGCCACTGCACCCGGCCTGGATGGTAATTTAAAACATTCTCTCTTTTTTTTTTTTTTTTTTTTTTTTTTTTTTTAAGATGGAGTCTCTCTCTGTAACTTAGGCCCTAGGCTGGAGTGCAGTGGCACGATTTCGGCTCACTGTAATCTCCACCTTCTGGGTTCAAGCAATTCTCCTGCCTCAGTCTCCTAAGTAGCTGGGATTAAAGTCACGTGCCACCACGCCCATCTACTTCTTTTGTATTTTTAGTAGAGATGGAGTTTCACCATGTTGGCCAGGCTGGTCTTGAATTCCTGACTTTGAGTGATCCACCTGCCTTGGCCTCCCAAGGTGCAGGGATTACAGGCATGAGCCACCGCACTCAGCTCATTCTTTTTATTTTAAAAAATCCTGGCTACATTATAGGTAGGTCTTGACTGGCAGGTGATAGGAATGGGTCTCAAACCCAGGCAGTCTTGCTCTGCAGTTGACAGGACCAGATGATGACAATTATAGCCAACCGTTATAGAGTTATATGTGACTGTAATTTATATTGTATATACTGTGTTCCAGGCATTGTTTTATGTGCTTTACACATAACAACTTGAGTAATATTCAAAACAGCCCTAAGAAGTAAGTAATGTTATATTAACCCTATTTTACAGATTAGAAAACTGAAGACCAGAGAAGTTAACCTACTCAGAGTCACACGGCTAGTGAGTAGCAAAATTGGTTCCAGAGCCCATTCTCTTCACCACTGTTCTGGGAGTAATGGAGGAAGGAGTGTAATAGAAGGAGCTGGTCAGAGGCCTAACCCTTACCCGTCCACCATGGCGTCTCCCCGAATTAGTTTGAGGTTCTTGAAAAAGCCCAGGGACACGAGGGCAAAGGAGTGCTTGATTTTGAGGAAGCCAGTAATGGTTTCTACCAGCCCCAGGCTGTGCTGCAGCTGCGGCTCCAGGTTGTCTAGGGATGGGAAGACAGGGCTGGAGCAGGGAAGGTGATGGGTCCATGGGGCAAGGGGGCTGAATGGGGGCCCCGGGAGGGTGGACCCTCAGGACTGAGACCCAGGATGATGGAAAATCGTGCTGAGTTGGGTCATTGTAAGGGGTGTGTCTGGGAGGAAGGGTATGACCAGGAGGAGGAGTGTGGCCCCAAAGTAGGTACTGACAGCCCTGGCGAAGGTTGAGGATGAGGCTTCCCTCCACATGCGTGCAGCCCACCAGATCCTGTGCCGCCTGGATGGAGTCGATGGTCTTGGTGCCTACCTTGCACTCTTTAGGGCACAGCCCCTCGCACTTGTGGCAGAATATGCTAGCAGGAGCAAGCAGATATCCTGAGCCTTGGACCAGTTTGGGCCTCCTCAGGCCTCCTCACTGCTCCCAGGGTGCCCCCCACCCTCCCTACACTCACCTGCTGCTATTACGGGTGAAGCCAGAAGGGCACTGGGCCAGGCAACTGCCCTGGTGTATGCCGAAGGTGGAGGCGCGGCCGGGCACAGAGCGCAGGCTGGCACAGCGCTCAGCTGTGACACAGCGCCAGGACTCATACTGGTAGGTGCCTGGCGGGCAGGCCCACAGGCAGGCACCCTGGAAGTAGAGGTGGCGGCAAGCTACACAGGCACGAGGGTCTTCCGGCTGGCTGCAGCCCCCCAGGCATTCGGTGTGGCAGCACTCGCCCCTCGCTGTGCAAGCCAGCCCATGGGGGCAGGGGCACACTGTGGGGAGAGTGGTGTGTTAGACCTTGGCCATGCCCCCTCAGTCCTGGCTGTCCTTCCAATGCTGGCCCCACCCTCTTTCTCTTGGGATGACACTCAATCTGCACCCAGGTCCCTCCCATTCAGATGACACTGGTAGCTGACTCTGTTTCCCTCCGATGGGATTCTTGAGGACAAGGACTGTGGCCCTGTCTGTGGCTCCCCAGCTCCCACAGTGCCTAGTCGGGGTGTCAGAGCTCAGGACAGAGCAGCGACCTTGTCCATCAGGGTTGTTGCTCTCCAGCCTGCTGTCCTGTCTATCCTGTCTAGGCCTGGTGCCCAGATCATGGCTGGGCATGGCGCCAGGGTGAGCGGGCCAGCCTCTCCTGAGCAGCTAGGCCCACGGGCCTGGGTGTATGTGCAAGGAGGGGCCAACATCCGTCGTTTTACCCACGCTCCTGCCCATGCCGCCCCCACCTCAGCTCCCCGCCCTGGGCAGGAGGAGGCTCCAAGCAGCAGTGGGAGGGTTTGGGGTTGGAGGCCCAATTGCCTAAAAACTGCACAGTGGCAGCTGGCTGGCTATGGGAACGATCTGTGGGGTAGGGGTCAGCCAGGTCGTGTTGACACTGTACACGAGAGGATGCGCAGCAGCTGTGTTTACAGCCAACAGGGAGGCATCAGGGAGGTGGAGCACAGCCGATGCAGCAGGGATCTGGTTACTCTCCCACCCGCCCTGCTGCTGAGGCACTGGGGGCGAGAGGAGCTGACCTCCAGGAGCTGAGTGGAAAAAATCCCCAGGTTGGGGGACCCCACCTCTGAAAGGTTTTCCTCTCCTTTCCTATAACGTTTTGCTTCCTCCTGCACCAGCCATCCCTCTTTTTTCTCCTTCCTCCTTTCTCTATTGCCTTTTTCCTCTCCTTGCATCATCCTAAAGGTACCACCTTACATCTTTGCTGTCACCTGTTCAGTTCTTCACTGATCATCTCCTTTCTTCTCCTGCTCACCCCAAACCTCAACCTCCCATTACAGTACTGCCAGCTGACCCTGGAACACTGTGCTGTGGCCACTCTGAGTACGAACATAGAACTGCTACCAGGACCCAGGCACTGCTCTGACGCTTTGTAGAGTAACTCATTCCTCATGACACCCAATGATCATTTTACAGCTGAGGAAACTGTGGCACAGAGGGGCTAAGTGAACATAGCCAGTAAGTGGTAGAGCTGAGACTTGAACCCAGGCCCTCTGCCTTTGGACTTAACCACTGCCCCACACTGCTTCTTGTGCTGCCTACTCTCCGTTCGTGCCTGCTGTTTTCCCCCCATGCCCACCTTGAACCTGTCCTTCACCTACTCCATGATGCCGTCATGGGCCTACCCCTTAGCTGTCTTATGCCACATTGGTTATTTAACTTTTCTGAGCCTTTGTTTCCTTACCTGCCTCATAGGATGAGTGCGGATTAAAAAACAGTGGCACTGAAAGTACTGAGCCATACCATCCTGTGACCACCCAGCCCCATGTGACCCTGCTGTTTCTGTTCCCTACACTCATGTTCTGTGCCAGTGCCCACCTCTCTGGCAGTGGCTGGAGGTCCAGCATCTGTAGTCAGTGTGCCCGCTGAAGGTGGTCTTGGCACAGGATTCGCCAGCAGCACCCAGCACACCAGGGCACACGTCAGCACACTCCTCGCCCAGCTTGTTGCCCACAATGTGGTTGGCACCAGGTGCTGGCTGCAGCAGTCCCCAGTCAATGGTGGAGAGGTGGCAGAGTTCCTGGTTCTTCTCCACACGCACAGCCCCACGCAGCACGGCCCCAAGCGCAGGTAGTCCCACGTCACGCAGATGCGGCATCTCAAAGATGACCAGTGCGTAGCCCAGGAAGAGGCGCGTCCCGCGGATGACTGCTAGGTTGGGGAAGAGGTCGCGCAGGCTCTCCAGTCCGTAGACACGGAAGAGCAGCAGGTAGTCGGTGACCTGGGTGAGGCGAGGGAAGCTGAGGCCGCGGAAGTCCTCCCCGGTGGCTGTGAACATGAGCAGGATCTGCAGGTGGCCCTCCACCACGCTGCAGTTCTCCAGTCTACGAAGCTCTGCCACCTCAGAGCGAATGTCCAGGCTGGGACACACTGTGGGCATACATGGCATGCAGCATTGAGTACAGCCCAGGCCAAACTCCCCATCCAGTCCTGGCAGCTTTGGGGGGGAGCCACACTGGCAGTAGGACAATGAGTGAGAAGCCAGGCTCTGCTCCGGGTGTGGGGTGGCCTCCTCCCTGGGCTCCAGAGGGCTCACCTGCAGCCTGCAGGGTCTCTACCAGATGAGCCACACAGGCAAAAATGAACTCCTGACCCTCTCTCCCAAGCCCATTTCCCCTTCTTAGTTAATAGCAACTTCATTCTTGCAGTCAGGCTCCCAACCTAAAGTCACTTTTAACACCTTTCTTTTTCACCTTCTACATCCTGTAGGTTTATCTTTAAAATATGTCCAGAATCTGAACTGCTTGTCGACACCTTCACAGCTTCCACCATCATCTTCCCCTGGATTGACAGTAATAGCCTCTCAAACTGTCTCCCCAATTCCACCCTTGTCCCTCTTTGGGACATTCTCCACTCTGCAGCCGGAGTGATCTCAAAACACAGATTGATCACGTTTCTCCTCTGCATATAACCCCTCATGACTTCCATCTGTCTTGATCTTACCACAGCCTACAGGGCCCTGCATGATTTGAGCCCCTGTAGCCTCTCTGATTTCATCCTTTTTATCTTCTTCAGCCACATTGACTTCTTTGCTATTCCTTATATATAACAGGAGTTTTACTAATGTGACAAGCCAGCAAAGCTCCTGCCTTGGGGTCTTTGTCCTTCTCTTCCTTCTGGCCAGAACCCTCTTCCCTCTACATGGCTTGCTCACCTCCATAAGTCTGGCCAAATGTCCCCTTCTCAAAGAGGCCTTCTCTGACCATCCAATTTTATTTATTTATTTATTTGATATGGAGTCTTACTCTGTCACCCAGGCTAGCGTGCAGTGGCACAATCTCAGCTCACTGCAGCCTCCATCTCCCGGGTTCAAGCGATTCTCCTGTCTCAGCCTCCCGAGCAGCTGGGATTACAGGTGCCCGCCACCACACCCAGCTAATTTTTTGCATTTTTAGTAGAGATGAGGTTTTACCATGTTGGCCAGGCTGGTCTCCAACTCGTAACCTCAATCAATCCACCCACCTTGGCCTCCCAAAGTGCTGGGATTACAGGCGTGGGCCACCACGCTCGGCCTGAATATCCTATTTAAAATTGACTTCTATTTTCACTGGTTGGGTGCAGTGGCTCACATCTGTAATTCCAGCACTTTGGGAGGCCAAGGTGGGAAGAATACTTGAGCCTAGGAGTTCAAGACCAGCCTGGGCAACATGGCGAAACCCCATCTCTGCAAAAATATACAAAAAGTAGCCAGGCATGGTGGTGCACACCTATAGTCTCAGCTACTCAGGAGGTTGAAGTGAGAGGATCTCTTGAGCCTAGGAGGTCAAGGCTGCAGTGAGCCATGATCACGCCACTTCACTCAGCCTGGGTGACAGAGTGAGACCCTGTCTAAAGATAATTATAATAAAATAAATAAAATAAAATTGTGACACTCTTTACTCCCCCTTCTGCTTTATTTTTCTCTATAATTCTTAAAACTGACTAGTGTGTGTGTGTGTGTGTGTATGTGTTTGTGTGTATGTGTTTGTGTGTGTATAATATTTTGAGACAGGGTCTCACTCTGTTGCCCAGGCTAGAGTGTAGTGGCAGGATCATAGTTCGCTCCATCCTTGAACTCCTGGCCTCTTCAAGTAATCCCTCTGCCTCAGCCTTCCAAAGTGATGGGATTACAGGTATCAACTATCATGCCTGGCCATATACTTATTTTTAACACTGGCTAAAATATAATTTATATATTAATATAGATATTTATTTATAGGAACAGATATATTTTGTTTATTGTAAGCTCCATAAGGGCAGGGATATTTGTATAATTCATGTTGTACCCTAGTAGCTGGTAGAGCTCCTGGCACAAAATTGGCCCTCAGTAAATATCTGATGAATGAATGAATGAGTGAATTCTGTGACTGGGAAGAAGTGATCTGAGCTTCATAGGTCCCATGTTTCTCCCAGCCTTAAGGGAGTTGGATGCCTGTTCCCTGAATTAATTTGATTACTCTTGAAGGGACATTCCATTGCTAAAGATTCAAGTTTCATTTCCTCAGCCTGACACTGTAGGGTGTAGATAAACCATTCCTTACTAATGCCTCCAGCCTCAGAAGGGTCCTTCAGCCTCTAGGGACAGACCTACCTTCCCTGACCCTCTGGCCTGGAGTTAATCACTTCCCCTTCAGGCTCAGCTACACTTAGTCCAGCGCCCACGTCAGATTACCTGCGGGCATTGCTCCAAAATTTTTGTATATATCTCTGTCACCCCCTCCAAGGAGGGTGGGACCCTTGTCAGTCAGCTCTGCATTCCCTCAGTTGTGCCCAGTCCAGGGCTGGAACCACTGGGCACTCAGGAACCATGGACAATGGACACTCCTTCCTTGGGGACCTGGATGTGTCTGGCTTCTTCACTAGAGCCCAAGCCCCACTTCCGTTTCTCTCCCTGGACTCACTTGCTCCCAAGAGGGCCTTCCGTGGCTCCCCACTGCAGAAGATTCAAGTTTGAATGTTTCAGCCTGACATTCAGCTGCTGACAATGTCTCCAGCCTCTACTTCCCTTCCTACAGAGCCCTCCGGTGTTATCACAGACACCACACGCCACATGCCACGCTCTCCAGGCCTCATTGCTGATAGTTTGTTAAGAGAGGTGGGCAGGCAAGGCTGGCTCCCTGGGGGTTACTTCACATATTCTCCCCGTTGTCATTAATGGTCCTGAGCTTGGCTCTGCCCAGCAGCTCTCTGTGAGTGTGTGTGTGTGTCTGAGCCCACACAGGTACACATACAAAAAAGAGGGAGAGAGAATGAGAAAACACTTCTATCCCTTCCAGGCGAAAGCCAATCAGGCTCTGCCAGGCAGATGGGGGTTCTCTCAGGCGCCCACTTCCCATCATGCCCCTGCCTCTCCAGGGCTCCCCTGATGGGAGTCATTTGGAAAAACAAATCTAAAACCTTCACAGTTTAACCCCTGCCTTCCCTCAGGACCTGGCTCTATGCAGAGCTGCACTGGGAACAGAACATCTGGGTCCCCTAAGCACATACTAGCCCCTCCAAGGACGTGCTCCTGTCCTGACAACCACACTCCCAGCTGGCATCTGCCGTGCAGAAGGGGGGGTTTTGGTGGTTGGGGGAGTGGTGCTATGCCTTACAGACAGAGGCTCTGTGACTAGCACCCTTCAGGGGACCTCCTACCTAGCCCATTGCATCACTCTCCCGTCTCCATGGGAAGAGGAGACTCCCCTGCCCCTGGGAGCCCCCAGTCTGAGGAGCATCATAGGACCCCTGGGGCAAGCACAGAGTCTGGATTCCTGAGCTGCTTCAGTTTGGAAGAGAATGGTGGGACTGGGGAAGGGGATACCTCTTACTCTTTCCCTTTTTGAAGCTTCCACCCTCAGCTCTTTTTCGTCTTTCTACCAAGCCCCCAGTACCTCCATGAGGGTCATTTAGTCTATAGAGTGCCCCCGCCCCTCCTGTCTAAAACGTATTCGTGGGAAGTATCTAGCCTGCAGGACAGGCCCTGGGGTGTTGAGGAAAAGCAGTATTTCCCCAAAACCAGCCTAGCCTTCCTCCCTGTAGGGATCGTGCCCTAAGAGGCGGGACACACGACAGGGCCCTGGAGGCAGGAGCTCGGGACCCAGTCTAGATTTACCCTTAGTTCTCAGAGCTGCAGTTTCCTGTAGGCAACATTGCCTCCATTACTTAATGGTGCCTGGTTCTCAGCTACCTATCCCACCCCTGCCTCTTCCCCTTCAGTGGCCCTAGAGATGACTTCTAACACTCTCATGGCCTCATTTGGGTTTTCAGGCAAGCTTCACTGGGATCACAGTTTAACTAGTAGGGATGGAAGATATCTACTCATCCTCATTTTGAAGTTCTTCTCACCTCTCAGGGAGCTGAGGGAAAAACATCTTTATGTGGGGAACTAACTGCTTTTTCTGCTGGGTAGTTCTCTGGAGAGCTAACCCCAGCCTCCATGTTCCAGTGCAGAGTAAGTGGATGTGCTGTGGCTGCAAGCTCAGTTGTTTGGCCTCCCAGCTGGCTGGGAGGGAGGTAGGGGTCTGGGAGCCAGTTCTGGGGACTCACCCTCTACTGTATCCAGGCCAAATCCCAACGAGAGGAAGATCACAGGCAGGCATGCTCCCCAGGGCCACAGACTAGGCACTGCCATTGTCCCAGCCCTGGTTTGTGTCCAGTCCCGGCTCTCCTCCTGGTGACCCTGGGGAGAAGGATTTGACAAGCCCTAAGGGACACAGAGACCAGGGTTCAGATAGGAGAGGGAGGGCAGGGACAGAGAGACAAGGAATCCCACACAGAGAGAGCAGGAGACAGAAAAAAAGAAATGAGAGTCACAGAGACACAAAGACAGTGACAGGCAGCTGGAGACAGAGAGACTCAGCATGAGATTGAGAGATGGGGACAGAGATGCAGACAGTGACAGGGAGAGAGAGAAAATGACACAGGGTTCTGAGCAAAAGGCAGGCCGAGAGGCCAGCCAACCCTGAGGGCAGAGCAGAAGGCTGGGGACCGCTCCCAAGGAGGGCAGCGGGGGTCCCGGGACGCGTGGGACTCCACAGGGAGAGTCTCCCTGGATCCCTCTGGGCGCGCGGCCCCCCAGCGCCAGCTGACCGCGCTGACTGCGGTCTTTCCCAGGGCAGGCACGCAGGGGCCGCGCCCAGCTCCCGCCCTCCCCGCCCCCCGCCGAAACAGATTGGTTCGCAGGGACCTCTCCGTTCTCTCCGCCCCTCCAGCCAAGCCAAAATATTTAGCCTAACAACTGAGGGGAGGACATATCTGTTGGGGAAATAAGGCCAAAATACGGGGGGAAGGGTGGGCCAAGAACTGAGCTTCCTCAAATCCCGCTGCGGCTGCAGCGGGTCCCCCCAATCCTTTGTCCCCACCACAAGCTTCTTCCAAGTGGGGCTGCGCCGCCGGAGGGGCAGCCAGCGCCCGGGCTTCTGGGGAGGACTGTGTCTAGATTCTGCTTCCCGGTGCTTTGACACCTGCCGGGTAACTTCTGGCAGCCTCGACCCGGGAGAACGTGGACAGCCTTTGGCCTCTCAGAGCCCCTCTCAGCCTCCCAGGAGGCCTCCCAGTCCTCTTTGGAGACCCCTTAGCGCCAGGCTCCGTCACCGCCTAGTCCCTTGGTTCTGACCAATATCCCGATGAAGAAGGCGATCACTGTGTGGGGCTCTGCCTCCGTCTGGTCATCTTCTTGAACTCAGGCTGCTTGGTCGGTCAGTGTGTCCCTGTCTCGGGGATTTGGGGGACCATTCATGCTGGGGCCTTGGCGGAGAGGAGAACTGCCAGCCTCTAGGAGGCCATCCTTCGCCTGCTCCCTGGGGCTTTGCCTGTCTCCCTGCCAAGAGAGACCCCTCTTCCCCTCGCTCTCCTCAGCTTGAGACGGATGGGTTCGTGCAGCCACAGAGGCTTGCGCGGTGGGAGGGGTTGGGACCAGCCTTCTGCTGCCCTGGGTGCTGGGGATCCCGGGGCTTTCCAGGTGCGCGGCCACCAAGTTGCACGGTCCTCAGCTCCACCTGCGGGCGGCTCCCGCATCGGAGGAGCTAAGAGATCTATTAATTTCTTCACGAATAAATCGATGCTCTTGTCAGGGAGGCAGGCGATCGATGTCAGCCCGCCCTGCCTTACCCTATCCTGCCCCGGGGCCGGCGCTGGCTGGCCGGGGTCAGGGACTGAAGCTGAGACCTGAGGCGTTGCTGATTGGGGGCTGCAGATCGCACCCCCAGCCACCCAGCCCGGGCGGAGAGCTGGCTCCTTTGCGCGCGGGCTTCTCGCGCCACCCTGTGGCTTCTCTTGGAGGCGCGGTCTTGGCTCTCTGGACTCCCTTCGGCCGGATCAAGCGACCCTTCCCTTTCTCTGCCCGGTCTGTGTCTTCCTCCCCAGGTTCTGCGATTGATCTTTGGTAGTCCTTTTCTTTTCTTCCTAGAGTTCGGAGAATGTTCTACCTAACTTACTCCAAGTGACATGCGCACTCCCCCAGGCACGCGCGCGGTGAGGATGGAGCGCTGAGTCTGGGGCTGACTAGGATGACCTGGACAGCAACCTTTCCTCAACTCAGTTATCTTCCCTCCTCCCCAAATGTAAAAATACAGCTGCTTTAAGCTGAGAGAAATAACGTATCAACTTCCCACCCCCGGCCTCAGCAGACACCTCCGAGGCGTTCTGCTGCGGCCCCTCTGCATCTCCCGGAGCTGGGGGGATCCTCGGGGAGAAGGCTGACGCTGGGGACCCCTAACAGGAGAGGGGGCAGAGTTGGGGGCGTCAGAGGGGAGAGAAGGGGCTGGAGACGAGGGGCGGGGCGGGGCCGGGCGGGGGCGACTGGCTCCGCCCTTTCCTGGCGGCTGGGTCTTTAACACCGCCCAGCGCACATGTCGGCGGAGGCCTGGCAGCAGCAGCTGAGAGCGCACAGACGGCTGCCCCGCCGGAGCAAGGCGGGCGCCGCCGCGATGCTGCGAGGCGGACGGCGCGGGCAGCTCGGCTGGCACAGCTGGGCTGCGGGGCCGGGCAGCCTGCTGGCTTGGCTGATGTTGGCATCTGCGGGCGCCTCACCCTGCCCCGATGCCTGCTGCCCCCACGGCTCCTCGGGACTGCGATGCACACGGGATGGGGCCCTGGATAGCCTCCACCACCTGCCCGGCGCAGAGAACCTGACTGAGCTGTGAGTGTCCGGCGTGCGAGGGGGCGCGGGGACAGGCAGGAATTGCCATGCCCCGAGGGCGCGGACTCTCCGCTTGTTTGCTTGGTCAGGCAGGGCGAGTACAGCGGAAGGCTGGCACGACGCAGCCTTTGGCGGTGCACGGGCGTTCCTCCGCAGCCGCCGATGCCCTAGCAAGCTTTACGGTCACTGCCTGGATGTCCCCTAGTGTTCAGGGCAGCTGGGCCGCCGGCTTCAGGGAGATCGAGGGGAGAATCTCTGGGCACCAGGTCTGAGAGAGCCTAGCCGTCTAGAAGCCGCTTTCTTGAGCTCAGTCAGAGGCTCCTGCTCTGTCCAACAGAGAAAGGTGGTTACCAGCAGAGAAGTCCCCAGTTTGACACCCTTACTACCTTTTCCCTTTTCTAGGGAAAGGGGCAAGCCAGCCCCCACCCACTTCCTTGTTATGAGGAGGCAACCCCAGCTTTTCTCCTGGAATTGGGGATTGAGCTGGCTGGCATTGGTGGGAGGTGGTAAGGAGCTGGGTGGTTGAGCTCTCCTCTTTCCATTTTTACCATTCCTTTCCCCAGAACCCCTTGATTTGGATCTGGGAAATGGGACCCCCTCCTGGATTTTCTCTCCCCACTCCCATCTCCCTCTCCAATCCGGGGCGGGGAGTCAGGGCCCTTGCTGAGAGACCCTCCTCCCTTTGGTACACAAAGCTGGGAGGAATCTTCAGCATTCTGCAGGACTCTGACATTCTGCAGGAATTGGTTACAAAATACTGAAGTACTTTTCAGCAGCTGGTGAAACCTATGGGAGTATGCAGTGATGACTGGCCTGGAGGTACTCAGGCATCACATGGTGATGGCTGGAAAATACTTGAATATTACATATGGCTATCATGGCCAGCAAGACATCTAGAAGAGGGGAGGAACTGCGAGAAAATCCTCCTCCTGGGGCCTGGGGTTTACAGGGTGGACAAGGAACCCTGGCCCCATGCAGTGATGGGCTGGAAGGTATCAAGGTGAGGATCATCAATGTCTGGAAGTTACTTGAGCAGCTTGCACTAATTGGCACTGAGTTACTCGGGTATCTTATGGTAATCAACAGGAAGGTACTCAATCTCTCTCTCTAATAGCTCCAGGGAGACCAGGAGTAGAGGAGATGGCCTTGTCTTGGTCTAGGCCTACATCTCTGCATGATGGGAGGGGGCATGAGAGACAGGCTGCCAGTCCTCCTAGTCCAGTTCTCTCATCACCCTGGGCCTTCAGACTGGGGTCCAGACTCCCCAGTGCTTGCCATCAGGGCTCCCATTTCCCAACTCCTTCCAAGTCCCAAGTGGGTCCAGCAGGGTAGGGATGGAGTGGTAGGGGAAGTGGACAGGCCAGGACTGGGGACTAGGAGGCATGCAGGGTGGCAAGCTAAGATGTCCCCCTGGGTGGGGTTGCAGCCTGACACCCCCTCCTCACTGCCTGCACAGCCCCTCCCTCCTCCCTCACCCGCAGAGCTAACGAGGAGATAATGGACTCGAATAGACAGATTGATTATGAATCCAAACGAATGAGGCAGCTTTGAGCACGCTGGCCTGACAGCTCACACACACCCTGCCAGCCCACTGCATTCTCACTCCCTCCCTGGGTCCCTACAGTTTGAAACCTTCTGGGCAGGGGCTGGGGGATGGGTAGAACAGGGACCTGGCCTCCCTTGTAGTCAGTGGAGGTTACTTTCTAGGTCTCCACTAAGTCCACAGGGAAACTTAGGATCTGATCCTGGCTGTCCTGGTGGGGCCAAGGCTGGAAAGGGAGGAAAGGAGGAAGGGAGGGGTCACTTAGGCTGGTCCTGGTTCCTATAAGGTAGGGAAAGTTAGAGGGTAGAGGGGGAGAGTTCTGAGAACCGGCAGTGAGTCAGGGGCCCCTGGCATGTGTTTTGTGGTGTGGGGGGGCACACAAACATGTCACTGCAGGGCAGCTGAGTTCTCAGGAACTCCCTGGTACGTCAGATCCAGCAGTCAGGCAGGGCCCAGGGCATCAGCCGTCCCCTAGACCTGAATGCCTACTCATTCTTCTTTCGTTCTTGTCTGTCTTGCTTTCTGTAGCTATCTGTCCTTATCTATCTGTTTCGCTGTCTCCCTTCCCTTATCTGTCTTCCTTCTTACTTGTCACTATCTTTCTGACAGTCTCTTCCTGTCGGTTTCTCTTTCAGTGTCTCTGTTTCACTCTCTCTTTGTTTTTCTGCCCTTCTGCCCCCACCCTCCTCATTGAACCTTTCCATCTTTCTCTCTCTCTCTCTCTCTCTCTCTCTCTCTCTCGCTGTCTCTCTCTCGCTGTATAAGTCAGCCAGTCTGTGCCTCTTCTCCCCTCCCCAACACTCTGACTGCATCCTCTCATTGCTCCTCTCCTCTTTCCTGGGTCCCTCCTTGGGGTCCCTGACTGATAGCCTCTAAGCCTCTTGCTTGATCTGCTGAAAAGGTGGTAGGGGAGGTTTCGGTGGAGTAGGGGTTGCTGCTTGGGTGTGGAGAGGGGCCCGAGGCTATGGGGGTGCAGAGATGTTTGTGTGTGTATATGTGTGTGTGTGTTTGTGTAGTACAGGTGAGCCCTGGCAGTGGCCCTTGGGCGGGCACGTTTGGGAACAAAGATTTGCATGAGCACAGGCTTTGTCTGTGCTGCGTGGGGTAGTGGCAGGGATGAGCCTTGACCCTTTGTGGTAGCAAGTGTTTCAGTATAACCTCCCATTGGTGAGCGTGTGCCAGGCATGCCTGATATAAAAGCAGAACAACAATGTGAGAATGGACTTATGTGTGTGCACGTGAGAGATGGATGTGAGCTTTGTTTCTGTGTGTCCATGTGTGAGCCTCTTCCTGAAGGCACATGTGCATGTGCATGGCGTCATCTGTGCAGATGCTTATGCCTCTGCGTGTGTGCATGTGCATACTGGGTGTGTGCATGTGTGCAAGAGGTATGTGAGAGTGTGCATATGTGTGAGTGTCTGGGGATCTATACATGTGTGCGCTTGTGTGTTCATGCACACACATGCATGTGCATATGTATGCATTCGTATGTGCATGCCATGTAAGTGTGTATGCAGGTCTGAACAGGTGCATATGCGTGTGCCTGTGATGTGCATGTGGCATGTGCCTGTGTCTTGTGAGGGAGCAGGAGGGTCGACATGGGAACTCAAGTGTGGGCCTGAGCCCTGTGACTCCCATCCCCTCTCCCCACAGCTACATCGAGAACCAGCAGCATCTGCAGCATCTGGAGCTCCGTGACCTGAGGGGCCTGGGGGAGCTGAGAAACCTGTGAGGAAAATGGGGACTGTGGGTGTGGAGCTCAGCGTGGGCCTGGGGGAGACCAGAAGGTCAGGGAGGGCTCAAGGGTCTGAGGGCCTGGGAGGACCTGAGAGGCTGAGGACTGAGGGACTGGGAGAGGTCAGGAAGCTCAGGGCTTTGAGGGGTCTAGGGTAGCTGAGGAAACAATGAGGGGCCTGAGGAGGGGTAGGAGTTCAGCACAGGGGACTGGGAGGCTGGGATGGGCAGGGAGGGCCAGAGGCCCAGAGTAGCTGAGACCTGGGGACTGATCCTCCTGCACCCCTCCCCAGCACCATCGTGAAGAGTGGTCTCCGTTTCGTGGCGCCAGATGCCTTCCATTTCACTCCTCGGCTCAGTCGCCTGTGAGTGTGGCCAGTGCTGGGCAGTGGGGATTGGGGAGGACACCCAGACTTGCGCTGCTAATGGGCTTGGCTCTCCCCGGGGAATGATTGCGAGGGGCCCAAGCCTGGTCAGGGAAGTCACCTCACCCATTCTCCTGGGGCTTCCTCCCATCTCCCTCAGGGATGGCATGCTCTTACCCCCGCCAGCTAGAGGTCCTCCTTGCCATCTCACTTCCATGGTCCATGCTGCAAGGATACTTCTCATAGGTGCCCGCCCCATCTTTCTTCCCAGGGCTCAGATACACACCAGTGCAAAGGGAGCAAGCGTCAGGAGCAGGACTCCTGTGTTCTGGCTGGGACTCCATTTCCCAGGGACGCATTGACTTGGCTCCTAGGACATCCTGGGAGCTGGGGTGTTAGGTCTGCCACTTGTCACCCTCCTCATTCTCGGGAGTCATAGCTATCCCTCCTGTAGAGCAGCGGACCCCAACTTTTTTGGCACCAGAGACTGGTTTCATGGAAGACAATTTTACCACAGATGGTGCGGGAGGGGAGGATGATTTCAGGATGAAACTGTTCCACCTCAGATTATGAGGCATTAGTTAGTTCTCAAAAGGAGCGCACAACCTAGATCCCTCGCATGCGCAGTAGTTCACAGAATCTAATGCTGCTGTTGATGTGACAGGAGGCGGAGCTCAGGCGGTAATGCTCACTCACTGCTGCTCACCTCACGCTATGCGGCCGGGTTCCTAACAGACCACATATTTACCCTGTTTATAGCCCCTCTTCCTTGCTGTCCCCCTCTTTTTCTTTAATTTATTTTTTAAGAGTCAGGGTCTCCCTCTGTTGCTCAGGCTGGAGAACAGTGGCACTATTTTCCCATCTGTGGCCTGAGAATTGAGGACCCCTGCTGTAGGACACAGAGGGTCATGGGATGGGCAGGAGAGACCATCAGAGTCTCTGGCAGCCCCTCCCTGGCCTTCCGAGGGTGGGAGTTCAGCTCCCCTGTCCCCCAACATGAGCAGGCGGAGAGATGGGAAGGATGGTGGGGCCGACATTCATGGAGTTATGCGGGGTCCTCTACACTCTGCTGTGTCCAGCAATTTAACAAGGCAAAATAAAGTGATGTCGTATCACCATCTATGCACCGGGGCTTCCGTTAAAAACGTGTTCAATGACACTTCACGGTACTTATGTCAATGAATCTTCACAATCAACCTGGTGAGAGAGAGAGTGTTCTTGTCCCCATTTCATAGATGAGAATTCTGAGAATCAGAGAGGTTGAGTTTCTGGACTGAGGTCACACAGCTGTAAGTGGCAGGATAGAACTTACACCCGCTCTATCTGGCTCTCGAGTGGGTTGTGTCTTTGGTCCCTATGTGGTGGTACCTCTCCAACCCAGCCACCACAAATTCTAGGTTGACTAGGAAAAGAGAGGGGTCAGGATAGGCCTCTCAGAGGCAGAGGGTCCCAGCAGCAGCAGCCTGACAAAGGGCACAGGGCACTGGGGCTCCTACATCATTTTCCGGTGTGGCCAGGCCCCCGCTGGGCTCACTTTTTCCACCCCTACAACGAGGGGGCTGGGGGTGTGGGTCCTTTCCTGCCTGACCTTTTAGTCACTGAGGAGGGCCTGAAAGGAGGAGGTGGAGGGGAACTGAGGAAGTGCGTTGAGTTCCTTGTGGTCAGGTAGGGTCAAGGGAGTGTGGCAACCTCAATCCTCCCCCTCTTCCTCTGGCCCCGTCCTGGGCTCTGTGGGGAGGGGAGCACAGATGGAGCCCTTCCCCCAGCTGTGGCCTCAGCACTTTGCCAGCTGGGGCCAAAGCAGTGGGGGAGGGAGAAGCGGCTGTTCCCTCAGATCCCCCTCCCTGGGGTCTGGAGAGGGGGCTAAGTAGGGTTAACCCTTGTTGTCCCAGGGAAAGGAGTGGGACTCAAAAAGCCCTCCACCACGCCCCCCCATCCATCCACACACACTGCCTTCCAAGGCTTGTTCTGGCTGCCTAGACTGGGGAGGGGGAGCCAGATGTCAACTTCTTTCTCGGCTCCTCCCCTCCCTCACTCTGGGTCAGAGTGAGGTCGGGTCACTCAAGGGGTCTGTCTTGCTGTGTCTCCACGCCCGTAGGAATCTCTCCTTCAATGCTCTGGAGTCTCTCTCCTGGAAAACTGTGCAGGGCCTCTCCTTACAGGAACTGTGAGTGGGGGCACTTCCAGGGACAAGAGCACCAAGTGTGTGTGTGCCTGCGTGCACTTGGGTCTGTGGGATGGCATTGGGTCACTGTGTCTGTGTGGCACTGCTGGGGGGGTCTCTTTGGGGACTATGTGCATGCCAGTGAAACCCCCATCAAAGCAGGGGCTGCAGGACCACCCGTTAAGGGGGCTACTGCCCTGGGGAGCTGGCCTGGATGACTGTGTGTGTGCTGGGCCTGGCTGAGCAGATCCCAGGCCCACTGTGTGTCCACGGCACATCTGGCAACATTCCCAGGGCACCTTGCACAGTGGTGAGTGGGGCGCAGGGGTTCATGTGTACCTGGTGGGCACTTAAGGCCTCTGGGTCACTCTGGGAGGCTGTGCCTTTCCCTCCTTGTCACCATGCTGAGAGCCCTTGCCTGGTTTCTCATCCGGGGGAGCCTGGGGTGAGGGAGCCCCGTGCATCCCTCAGCCATCAGCTGTCTTGTCTTCCACTTTCTGCATTCAATTTCTTTCATTTTTACATTATTTTTTCTTTTTGTGGAGTTGGGGTTTTGCCATGTTGCCCAGGCTGATCTTGAACTCCTGGGCTCAAGCAATCTTTCGCCTCAGACTCCCAAAGTGCCAGGATAACAGGTGTGACTCACTGCGCCTGGCCTATTTCTTTTTTCTCTCTCTCTCTTTCTCTTTCTTTCTTTCTTTCTTTTTCTTTCTTTCCTTTTCTTTCTTTCTTTCTTTCTTTCTTTCTTTCTTTCTTTCTTTCTTTCTTTCTTTCTTTCTCTCTCTCTCTCTCTTTCTCTTTCTTTCTTTCTTTCTCTCTCTCTCTCTCTCTCTCTCCCCCTCCCTCCCTCCCTCTCTCTCTCCCCCTCCCTCCCTCTCTCTCTCTCTCTCCCCCGCCTCCCTCCCTCTCTCTTTCCTTTCTTTCCTTTCTTTTTTTGAGACAGAGTCTTGCTTTGTCATCCAGGCTGAAGTGCAGTGGTGCAATCTCAGCTCACTGCAAGCTCCGCCTCCTGGGTTCACACCATTCTCCTGCCTCAGCCTCCCGAGTAGCTGGGACTACAGGTGCCCGCCACCACGTGGTCCTGGCTAATTTTTTGTATTTTTAGTAGAGACGGGATTTCACCGTGTTAGCCAGGATGGTGTTGATCTCCTGACCTCATGATCCACCTGCCTTGGCCTCCCAACGGCCTATTTCTTTGAATAACATCCTGTTACTGGAGTCAGACGGAAAGACCTCTGTGTCCTCCCTTTCACCTGTAGACCGTCCTCCTCGCGGCCTAACTGCTCTCTCTTATCCCTGTGATCCCTCAGGCCCCTTCCTTGACTCACTTGGTGTCCCCCATGCCCACCAGGGTCCTGTCGGGGAACCCTCTGCACTGTTCCTGTGCCCTGCGCTGGCTACAGCGCTGGGAGGAGGAGGGACTGGGCGGAGTGCATGAACAGAAGCTGCAGTGTCACGGGCAAGGGCCCCTGGCCCATATGCCCAATGCCAGCTGTGGTAGGTGCTGGGTGAGGGAGATGGTGTAAGGGGGCTGGGAAAGAGGCTCACCTGCCTGAGGGAGAGGGCACTGAGCAAGCACTGAAAAGGCCTGGGGAATGGGCATTGGCAAAGGCTGGGGGATACTGCCTGGGGTGACATTGCCTGGGCTCCGGGTCACTGAGGAGGGTGGGGGAAGGAGCAGCCCTGCAGTAGAATTCTGGGGCCACTCCCAGCTCTAACACCCTTTGGCCCTTGGGCATCCTGGGTGGCCAGGTGTGCCCATGCTGAAGGTCCAGGTGCCCAATGCCTCCGTGGATGTGGGGGACGATGTGCTGCTGTGGTGCCAGGTGGAGGGGCGGGGCCTGGAACAGGCCGGCTGGATCCTCACGGAGCTGGAGCAGTCAGCCACAGTGATGGTGAGAAGCCCTTCGCCCGCAGCCCCCAAGAGGTCCAGGCAGAGCACAGGGGACAAAGACGGGGAAAGAGAGACACACTGTGGAGGAAAGAGACAATAAATAAGGAGCACACTGAGGCTGAGGGATGGACAGAGATGCTTTAGACCCACAGGGCTCAGGCCTATGCTGTGGGGCAGCCCAGGGCATGCACACCCTCGGGGGGGGGGGGCCCCTGACCCAGCAGGGACCCCAGGCTACACTTGAAGCCCCAGGACCCCTTTCTGGGAACATGGTGTTGGCTGCAAGGGAGAGGGTCACAGAAATCTTACATGTTGGAGCTGAGAGGAACCCAACAGACCATCTCTCCCATACATCCCTGTTCTTTCTTTCCTTCTTTCTTTCTCTCTCTCTCTCTCTCTCTTTTTCTTTCTTTCTTTCTTTCTTTCTTTCTTTCTTTCTTTCTTTCTTTCTTTCTTTCTTTCCTTTCTCTCTCTCTCTCTCTCCCTCCCTCCCTCCCTCCCTCTCTCTCCCTCTCCCTCTCCCTCTCCCTCTCTCTTTTTTTTTGAGATGGAGTCTTGCTCTGTTGCCCAAGCTGGAGCACAGCGCAGTGGCGCGATCTTGACTCACTGCATCCTCCGCCTCTCGGGTTCAAGTGATTCTGCGATTCTCCTGCCTCAGCCTCCGGAGTAGCTGGGAGTACAGGCACGCACTACCACGCCCAGCTAATTTTTGTATTTTTAGTAGAGACGGGGTTTCACTACGTTGGCCACACTGGTCTCAAACTCCTGACCTCGTGATCCACCTGCCTCTGCCTCCTAAAGTGCTAGGATTACAGGCGTGAGCCACTGTGCTTGGCCGATCACTTTTCTATATAATGAAACTGGGACCCAGGGAGGAGGCACAATATCAGTTGTACTGCATCTGGGATGAGTTCTTGGGGGCCTCATGGTCTTTTTTTCTGGAGATTCTGGAAGGAGCATCCTCTTGGGCATGTGATGAATGCATTAGTAAGGGAGGCATAGGTCTGGCTCCAGCTCTCTCACTAATTAATTCTGGGAGTGACTTTCAGAAAAATCCCTTAATCTGCCTGCACTTTGGTTTTCTTATCTGTAAGCTGAGGAGGTGGACATGATGGCCTTCTGATGTCCTGCCTGCCCCTGGGCGTTCTCTGGCCTCTATCTCTGTTATCCAGACATGTCTTTGGACACCTTCCCAGGCCTTACCCTTTGTCCTTAGGCTGGCGATGGGCAGATGAGAGTAGCCACAGGGAACTCAGTTGGCCTTGCTGACGAGGTCGACAGCAGCTGACAATGGGCTGTGCCCACCCAAAAAGCTGGCTCCACCTGGGCAGGAGGAGTGGATATAAAGGGACCAGGAATGTGTGCCTAGGGGGCTGGGAGCGTGGTGTTTAGTTGGAGAGCCTTCACTTTGGTGGGAGAGTCAACCCCAGAATTGCTGGAGGCCCCTGGAACCATACTGAGGGAGGAGCCATTGGGCGCTGAGCAGGAGACTTCAGACTTGGTGGAGGGACCACTAGCCACTGAGCGGATCCTCTCCCTCCAGACAGCAAAGCTGCCTAGAGTGAGTAAAAGAAAGGGGACCAGGCAGAGGCCATGCCCCTGCATGGAGAGACCTTAGATCAACTCTCTGTTTGGGGCGATTCCAGGATTTGCTTTCTCTTTGGGAGTCTTACATGTTTGCTACCATCTGTGTTTTCTAGAAACTATATATACAAAAGTCACTCCCTACTGGGCACAGTGGCCCATACCTGTAATCCCAGCACTTTGGGAGGCCAAGGAGGGAGAATCACTTGAGACCAGGAGTTTGAGACCAGCCTGGGCAACAAAGCGAGACCCTATCCCTTAAAAAATAATTGCACCCTAACTGAGTTAAATGGAGGGGAAGAGAGGCTGCTCTCCCTCAGTTAGGAGGATAAGGGTGGCAGAGCATCTCAAGAGGAAGAGTTATTGGCCTCACAGTAAGTGGAGGGGATGGGACAGCCAAGGGAAGCAGAGGGTAAGGCAGGGCTTCCCCTCAAGGTGGCTGGAACCCAAAGCTTGCACAAAAGGCTGGAAACTCTACTGGAGCCTTTGAACTCACGTATTCCATTGGAAGCCTGGGGAAACCATACCTCCTCTGGCATGTGGTCAGAGGATTCCACGTTTATGAAGTTTTCAGATAAATGAGATTTATCCACCACTTCATTATTTTCATCATTTTGTGAAAATCACTTTCTAAAATGTCAAAAGATAATTTGTCCACCTCTTCAGCTTACAAAACAAACAAAAAATCCCCATGGTTCAGCAAGACGAAGAATTGTCGTAAGATCATGTAACTTACACATGACAAATCCACAGTTTCCTAGGAAGAGAAACTCGATCTGATTCAATCCTGACGATGATTCAGAATCAAGTCACTTTGCCTGTCCAACCTCACCCATGGTCCTCATCTGCTGCAGGAGGCGACGCTGCTGCTGTTGTTTCTAACTGCTGCCGTGCTATTCGCACCATCTCTTTGTTTCTGATCTTCCTTGGGCAGAGACTCAGTTTGTTAGAACTGTGTGTAAAACAGGAATGAATAGGTGGTGAGGTCTTAGTGGGGTCTCCAATGAGCTGTGTCCAGATTTGGTACTTGGGATGCGTGACATCCATTTAGCTGCTCAGATGGCTGGTCTTAGTTTCAGTTTGGGATATTTTGTGCCTATTTTGAGGTTATTGGTTATATTTTAGATTTTTCACATAATTAAATACGTGATCCAGGCGGGGCGCAGTGGCTCACGCCTGTAATCCCAGCACTTTGGGAGGCCGGGGTGGGAGGATCACTTGGGGCCCTGTTCAAGACCAGCCTGGGCAGAACAGTAAGATCCCGTCGCTACAAAAATAAAACATAAAATTTTTAAAAATGTGATCCAGGAGATAGTCAATGAACAAACCTAAAGGAGGAAGGACATTCTCTGCTACATTCTCTCCCACCCCTCTCTCCCTCCTCTTCCCTCCCAGCCCTCCTCTCCTATCCATCTGGAGTCAGAGGGGCTTTCCAAAGACATCAGCCCCAGCCCCGAGCTGGCTAAAGCTCCTTCTGATTTCTGCCTCTCTTTCCTGATCTAGAAATCTGGGGCTCTGCCGTCCCTGGGGCTGACCCTGGCCAATGTCACCAGTGACCTCAACAGGAAGAACGTGACGTGCTGGGCAGAGAATGATGTAGGCCGGGCAGAGCTCTCTGTTCAGGTCAACGTCTCCTGTGAGTCTCAGTGGCAGTCCCTGCACCCAGCCCCTACTCATCTCTTCTTCCCTCAAAAGAGGATGTAGGGTGGGGGCTGGAGGAAAGGGTGGGATGTGTGTCTCCACAACTGCTCCCTCCCAGCTGTTTCCAGATTCCCATGAAAACCCGATCCTTCGGGGGAAGTCCTGGGGGCTCGTCAAGGCCAGAGGGACGGAGATGGATTTCTTTCTGGCCCCCTGCCCAAGCCTTGCTACCTGAGGCCCTCAACACCAGATGCCCGGCTGTTCCCACTGCTCCGAAGTATTTTTTCATGCCCGTCCCTCATCGGGTCCTTCTTCCCGCATCCTAGTTTCTAAAGAGGAAATTCTCCTCCTGAGTTCCTCTTTAGGCTCGCTGCCTAATTTCTCTAGGTCAGCCAACAAATTACCTTAAATCTTCTACTTTACATCAGTTGTCTTCTTTTATTGTGAAATGTACATAGAAATGTGCAAACAATATATATACTTTAAACAATAACTACTCTTACCAGCACCACGGAAGACCCCCCGCCCCCGCCACCCAACACCTCTCCCTATTCGCAATCCCATCCCACTCTCCCATCTCATGTTGACTTTTGTCAGGACAACCATTTCCTTGCTTTTAAAAATAATTTTTCTCAAATATGCTTTCCTATCGGTATCGTTTAGTTTTGCCTGTTCTTGTACATTATATAAATGGAATCATACTGCGTGTATTATTTTGTATCTGGTTTCTTTCACTCAACATTATATTTATAAGATTCATTCATGTTAATGGGAGTCGCTGTATGTAGCTCACGCAATTCATTGCTAAATAGTATTCCTGTGTATAAATGCTATATTATATATATGTATGTATTTATTTATGCATACATACACTTTTTTTCTATCATTGAGGGGCTTTTGCTGTTACCAGATTGGGTCTATTTCAAACCCATACCTTTTTCAAAAAGTGCGTGTCTGTGTGTATGTGTGTGTCTGTGTGTGTGTGTGTTTGAAGAGATGGGGTCTCAGCCTGTTGCCCAGGCTGGAATGCTTTGGGATCATAACTCACCGCAGCCTTGAACTCCTGGCCTGAAGCGATCCTCCCACCTCAGCACCCTGAGTAGCTGGGATTACAGGAGCAAGTCACTGTGCCTGGCTTTTCCCCCAAATTTAACTGTGTATATTTTTAGCTTGTTTGATTGTTAGGCCCCCTGACCCATCTTCTTCAGCTTGGTTACACTGACTTTTTATAGATTCCTTACACCAAAGACTCCATGTTTAAGTGTCATAAGCTGGTACCCCACTTCTGTGGGGCTATGACTTATTTATGGCCCACCACTTACACTCTTTAAGCCTCTGCATTTTATATGCCTGCTGCCTGATTTATTTAACATGTATTGTCAACTTTCTTCAAAACGTCTCTCCTTGGTGAATTTCCTAGGGCCTGCTGACCTGTTTCTCCCAGGCCTGCCCTTTGATTTCGGGTTCTACTTGCTTTGCCCCTGGACTTGTCGGGTGTGCGCTGGGCTTCCTCCAGCTGCGCCCTGACCTCCTGCTGTTGCTCTTTCTGGCCCACAGTCCCGGCCAGCGTGCAGCTGCACACGGCGGTGGAAATGCACCACTGGTGCATCCCCTTCTCTGTGGATGGGCAGCCGGCACCGTCTCTGCGCTGGCTCTTCAATGGCTCCGTGCTCAATGAGACCAGCTTCATCTTCACCGAGTTCCTGGAGCCGGCGGCCAACGAGACTGTGCGGCACGGGTGTCTGCGCCTCAACCAGCCCACCCACGTCAACAACGGCAACTACACGCTGCTGGCTGCCAACCCCTTCGGCCAGGCCTCCGCCTCCATCATGGCTGCCTTCATGGACAACCCTTTCGAGTTCAACCCCGAGGACCCCATCCCTGGTGCGAGGGCTGTCCTGAACCCTGCTCCCACTTCTGGGCTCCGCCTGGGTTACAGCCAACTTCCTGCCATAGCCGTTACCCCAGAAATTGGAGTGCCTGGTTCCGGACAGAAAGGAGTCTGGAGTCCTGGTGTCCAGCTGTTCTGGCCTCCTTACCCTCTCCCCAAGCCAGGACTCCTGAACTCCTGAGCTATTCCGTCCTTGTAGGCTGGCTGAGGAGACAGCCATGCACCAGGGCATCATGGCCCAGCTGGAAAAGGGTCACATGCATTTTCTCCCTTGAGGCCCAGCAGCCCACCTCCATCCCCCCTCACCCCATGAAGGAATGAGTCCCAGAATAGGCAGGGGACTCACTGTTTTCCTTCTCCCTCTGACTGCTTTCTCTCCTCCCTCCTGCTGCAGTCTCCTTCTCGCCAGTGGGTGAGTAGCCCAAGGTGGAGGGCAGGTTCTGCCTGGTCTCTGGAGCCGAGGCTAGGGCAAAGGGTACAGCTGACCTGATCCCTGAGAGGCCAGCTGGGGCCAGGGTTGGGGGGTTACTGGAGGCGATAGTGTGCACCAAGGCTCACCCTTCCTGCCTTGTGTCCCCACAGATACTAATAGCACATCTGGAGACCCGGTGGAGAAGAAGGATGAAACACCTTTTGGGGTGAGATAGGAAGTAGAAGCTTGTGCAGACTCTGGGACCGGGAGGCTGGGTAGAGGCTCATCTGCACGTCATTTCTGGTCAGAGCAGGGAGGTCACTACCATCTGGTCTGAGCTCTGACTGCCACCCTCACAGCCACTGCAGGGGTCCCCAGGGGAGGACGAGGCAGGTCTGGAGGCCTGGTTCTGGGCTCCCATGCAGGATGAAAAAATGGCTTGCTATGGGCGGCTCTGAGAGTGCAGAAGAAGCCCCTGGATCTAACCACCCCTGCCTCCCACCAGGTCTCGGTGGCTGTGGGCCTGGCCGTCTTTGCCTGCCTCTTCCTTTCTATGCTGCTCCTTGTGCTCAACAAATGCGGAAGGAGAAACAAGTTTGGGATCAACCGTGAGTCGAGGCTGCAGAGGGCTGTCTGTCTGTCTGTTCTCCTGGCTTTGTTTCCTGCTGGCTCTTCTTGACTCTGTCTCTGTCTGGGGGGCTGTGCACATGGGAGTTCTAGGGTGTGTGAGTGTGTTAGGGGTATAAATGAAGGCCTGGCTGTGAGGCTTGTGTGAGTGTGTGTGTGAGTGTGTGTCGGGCTGGTGCTGAGGTAGTTTCAGAGGCGGCAGCTGCTAATTGGTGGCTGGATTGTAGTCAAGCACTAAGTGGGTCTGGGAGGTCTGGGCTCTGTGGGGCGGGGGAGTTCTTTGGTGCCCATGGGGCCACGGGTGGGACAGAAGCCAGCACAGGGAGAGGCGGTGGTGCCGTCTTCCCCGTGCCTGCTGTCTCGCTCCCTAACTCCTCAGTCTCTCCCCTGCAAGTTACAAGGTGGGGATGACCAGGCATCCTGCAGGCAAGGGTGGGCAGGGCCAAGATGTGGGCAAACCCCTCCATGTGGCTGTGTCTCCTCCCTAGGCCCGGCTGTCCTGGCTCCAGAGGACGGGTTGGCCATGTCCCTGCATTTCATGACATTGGGTGGCAGCTCCCTGTCCCCCACCGAGGGCAAAGGCTCTGGACTCCAAGGCCACATCATCGAGAACCCGCAATACTTCAGTGATGCCTGTGAGGGGCTATGCTGGGTCAAGGGCAGGGGCGAGTGTGTGTGTGTGTATGTGTGTGTGTGTGTGTGTGTGTGTGTGTGTGTCTGTGTGTGTAGAAGCCCCTAGGCCATCGCCCTTACCCACCGAGGCCTGAACGATCCCTTCCTTTCTATTCCCAGCCCTATTCCAGCCATAAGCCCATTCTCAGGCTGAGTCCAGCCCGGCTCTTAGCTGCAGCCCCTGCCCGGAGTCACAGCTAGCTCACACCTTGTCCTGTCTGGGCAGATGCAGCCCCATACTATGACCTGGGGCTTGGTGAAGGGGCACAGGTTGAATTTTAGCCCCCGTGCAGCCCCTTGTCTGGGCAGCCTTGTGCAGCACACAGCCCTGCCAAAACAGTCCTCCCCTACAACCCCAGCCCTCCCAAGATTGGAGTTCCCATCTGACCCTGCAAGCCCCCTCAGGTGTTCACCACATCAAGCGCCGGGACATCGTGCTCAAGTGGGAGCTGGGGGAGGGCGCCTTTGGGAAGGTCTTCCTTGCTGAGTGCCACAACCTTCTGCCTGAGCAGGACAAGATGCTGGTGGCTGTCAAGGTGAGACCCTGCCCAGGGGGCACTGTTGGACTGGGTCCCACCCCCAGGAGCTCCATCACATCAGGACAGATTGGGGGAAGATGCAGAGGGCTGAGATGGCTGGAGGCTGGGGTGAGCGGGCTGCCCTGGATGAACAGCAGTGAGGACTGGGCCCCCACTCAGCCCTGTCCCTGCCCCTTCCATCCAGGCACTGAAGGAGGTGTCGGAGAGTGCTCGGCAGGACTTCCAGCGCGAGGCCGAGCTGCTCACCATGCTGCAGCACCAGCACATTGTGCGCTTCTTCGGCGTCTGCACCGAGGGCCGCCCCCTGCTCATGGTCTTTGAGTATATGCGGCATGGGGACCTCAACCGCTTCCTCCGGTACCAGCACCTGGACTCAGCGCTGGCCCCTGCCTCTGGGCCCCATCATCCCTTCCCTATAGACATCCCTGCTTGTCTTTCAAACCAAGGGGAGACACCAAGAAAGATCAGGAGGCACATTCCCATCCCCAAGGAGCTCTGAGATGGTAGAGGAGACAGACGTGTGAATGTAGGGGCGACTTTTGCAAAGGACAAGTGTCAGTAGTCAGGGACGTTGCGATGGCAAAGGACGTGAGCTAAAATATCGAGGTGGGTGGGCTTTGCAGAGGATGTATGTGCATTTGTGTGTGGCACACAAAGGCCAGGCCTCTAAGGGTGGCAATTCAGACAATGACAATAACAACAGTAATGAACATTTATCAGGCACCTTCTATGTTCCAGGTGCTATGTTATATACTTTATAATTTATTATTATTATATTTTAATGTATTTATTAGCGTTATTGTTTTAGAGATGGGGTCTTGCTCTGTTGCCTAGGCTGGAGTGCAGCAGTGGTGTAATAATAGCTCACTGCAGCCTCAAACTCCTGGGCTCAAGCAGTTGTCCCACCTTGGCCTCCCCGGTAGCTGGGACTACAGGTGCTCACCACTGCACCTGACTCTACAATTCGTTCTTATTATGATTTTATGTGCTAGGACATATATATCTTGTATAATAATATAAATATGTATTTATTCTTTATGGCCTCCAAGCATATATTGCAATCTATACTTGGAGCAAGTTACAAAAAATTCATTTATTTGACTTCGGACAGAACAACTCTGATATGTTTATCTATTTGTGCTAATTTTAATAACTTCAAGAAACGTGCCTGTTTCACAGATAAGGCTTAGAGAGGTTCGGTGACTTGCCCAAGGGTACACAGGTAGTGAATGGCCCAGGGGTGATGTGACCCCAGGCAGAGCCCCTACTCTCAACCCCTGATGTGATGGTCACATGTTCCCTTGGTCTAGTCCCTTGGTCTACTCCCTTGGTCATCTTCTGATGAGATCGCCCCTGGGAGGATGGGGCAGTGTTTGCAAGGCAGGGAGAAGACCAGGGTTTGGAATCAGCTGCCACTTATGAGCTGAGCCTTCTTTGCCGAGTAGCTTTCCCCTCACTTTCCTCACCAGTAAGAGGGACAGTGGAGGGCTGTGGTTCTGGATGAGCAAGCGCTGTGTGGTTGTCCAGCTGATGGTCATGAGCTGGTCCCCAAACATCCCCTTGGGAGTGATGGGTCATTCATGCAGTCAGGTGGCAGGACTCAGCTAAGAGAGAACCCTGAGTCTTGGGCTTATCGTGTGGACCAGGAGGGAGCCCATGCAGGGTGTGGAGCAGGAGGCGAGGCCAGACCCAAGGTTGAGTGTGGAGGAGGATCGGCAGAGAGGAGCCCAAGAAGGCCAGGGAGGAGCCTATCTCTTTGCTCCCAGACATGGCGTAGGCTCAGTGCTGGTCTTGAGGACACAGGCTAGGGAGATACCACCATCTGGGGCCCAGGCTGTGGGAGATGAGGCTCTAACTGCTGGATGGAACACTGGGGGAATCAATGGAGGGAATCATTAATGCTCAGAGATGAGTCTGGAAGACTTCCCCTAGGAGGGACCATCTGTTCCTTCTCCCCTCCAGGCCTTTGTACTTCCAGTTCCCTCTGCCTGGAGCACTGGGCCTCCCTCCCTCCACAGAAAGATGGAGACAGACACACAGACTCTACCCCTCCCTGCCTCAGCCCCCTTCGAATGGCTTCAGGAGCTGAGTTTCAGTTTAGGTGTCCCTTCCTCTAGGAAGCCTTCCCTGGCTTTTTCCATTCCCACCCGTGCCTGCCAGGTGCCCCTCACACTGCACTGCCATGACCTGCTTATCTGCATCATACTCTGCGCTGTAGCCCCGGTGCTTGGCACGTTGGAAATGTTTAACAAATGCCTCAACTAAACGAATGAGAAGATTGGCTAGTAGGAAAGGGCATTCTTGGCAAAGTGATCGATTCAGGCAAAGGTTCAGGAGAAGGAACATTGGGGAATACAGATGAGTGACTAGGACTGACCCAAGTGTTCACTGTGGGGAGAAGGCAGGCATCCTGGACACCTTCAAAAGGAAGGAAGACCCTGTAGGAATGGCTGGTCACTGAGGGCAAAGGGGAGAGAGACAGGACAATCAAGGACTCCCTGGTTTCAGGGTCTGCCTGGGTGGGGAGGGTCCCTTCCCTGAGGCAGGGTCAGGGTCAGGCTCAGGGAAAGACACTGAGCTGCAATTGGCAAGGGCTGAGTCTGACGTGCCTATGGCAAGGGATGTAGGGGCCAGTGGGCATCTGGAATTCAAGGAGCTGCCAGAGAGGAAGGCATGGATGTGGGAACTGTGAGCTGTCTCTGGTGGAAGCCCTGGAGGTGGGCACGCCTGTTCTGCTCCTCCGTCCCGCCCCTCTGGACAGCTGCCTCTACTGTTCTCTCAATCCTCCACTACTAGGCCCCCAGTCTCCTCTCCCATCACACCTGGCTGCTGGGGATCGCCTTCCTCAGGCTCCTGGGGATTCTGTCCTCCCAGCCTATCCCCACTCCTTTTCTTGTTCACAGATCCCATGGGCCTGATGCCAAGCTGCTGGCTGGTGGGGAGGATGTGGCTCCAGGCCCCCTGGGTCTGGGGCAGCTGCTGGCCGTGGCTAGCCAGGTCGCTGCGGGGATGGTGTACCTGGCAGGTCTTCATTTTGTGCACCGGGACCTGGCCACACGAAACTGTCTGGTGGGCCAAGGACTGGTGGTCAAGATTGGTGATTTCGGCATGAGCAGGGATATCTACAGCACCGACTATTACCGTGTAAGGGTCCTTTGTCCCCAACGCCTTCCCCTGACTCCAAACTGTAGACTCCCTGGATCCCAAGACCACCGAGAGCCTGCCCTTGCTAGGAAGCCTGCAAGGGTCTGAGATTCACTGGCTCTAGTTTTCAACCTACCTCCTCAGCCCCCACTGGTGGGGATTCTGTCTCCTTTGCTATGCTGGTCGGAAACAGCACCCTTCAGTTTTTGCCTGTTAGCACTGAGAGGCACATCTGTTTGTTTATTTATTTAATTTATTTTTTTTTGAGACGGAGTCTCACTCTGTCGCCAGGCTGGAGTGCAGTGGCACAATCTCGGCTCACTGCAACCTCCGACTCCCTGGTTCAAGCGATGCTTCTGCCTCAGCCTCCCGAGTAGCTGGGATTACAGGTGCCGCCATCACGCCCAACTAATTTTTGTATTTTTAGTAGAGACGGGGTTTCACCACGTTGGCCAGGATGATCTCAATCTCTTGACCTCGGCCTCCCAAAGTGTTGGGATTACAGGCGTGAGCCACCGCGCCTGGCATATTTATTTTTAATGATGGGGCAGGGGTGAGCTGTGCCTTGACGGGCTGTCCCAGGCGCCCCTGGAGTTGACGCAGCGCCCGCCCACCGCAGGTGGGAGGCCGCACCATGCTGCCCATCCGCTGGATGCCACCCGAGAGCATCCTCTACCGCAAGTTCACCACCGAGAGTGACGTGTGGAGCTTCGGCGTGGTGCTCTGGGAGATCTTCACCTACGGCAAACAGCCCTGGTACCAGCTCTCCAACACTGAGGTCAGCCCCGGCCCGTGGTCGCCCTTTGCTGGCTTCCCCCTCCCATGCCCCTTCAGGTCCCTTTTTCAGGGAACTCGGTTCCCCTTCCGCCCCTCCGCCACAGCCTGTTGGGGGTCCCTTTCCAGCGCCATGCCGACACTGTGTCCCGTCCACCCCGGCTCTGTTCTTCTCTTCCTCCCCTATTCTTGCCTTCACCTACTGTCCCAAGCCCAGGCCCAGTTGGCCCCTAGGGGAACCTCAAAGTGCTTTGTACATGGAGCCCAGACCCCCATCTCTAGCTGCATTTTGTAGACCTAAGCAGGTATTATCAGAGCGGAAGGGACCAGCACGGGAAGAGGAGCCCAGCACAAGAAGGCCCAACGCTGCAGCAGGATGGCCGGAGGTTAGACTGTCAGAAGGACAGTCCTACCCCCTCCTCCTGCCCTCCTAGCTGGCCACAGCCAGGGCAGGCCCCAGGTGTTCTGTCTCCCAGAGCAGCTGCCCCCACCTCCTCCTTGGCTCGCAGCTGTCAGTTTCCATTTCTCCTCCTAATGCAGTCTGCTCCCTGGAGGCTGGTGGGGTGGGGGAGAGGGTTATAGATTTTAATTTTCTCAAGCACTGAGAGAAGAAATGGAATTAGTGCCGCCCATAACCCAAGTCCTCTAACAGGGAGGGGGGAAGAAGGGGAAAAGAGGCTCCAGGCCCCTTCTCCAATCACTCCCTGCCATCCTTTCTCCTTCTTTGGATTCCTTAACTGCTTTAGCAGTTCTTCCTAGAGTCTAACTTTGATCTTTCTTGCTGCAGTTTCTTTTTGGGAGAGCTAGTCCCACAGAGTGGTATCCACAGAAGAGAGAAGAAGTGGGGATTGCCCTCTTCTTGAAAATGAAAGCCAGCTATTTTCAAGGCCTTTAACTGCAATTCTGCTCTATTTTCTTTTCTTTCTCTGGAACTGAGAGTCAGGGCCTTTCTCCTCCTCCTTTCAGCCCCCAACACTAAACTGATGGATTTGATAAATACCTCAGCCCCTCCCCTTCCTCAACCCACCTGGCAAGTCTTCTTAGCATCTGATCCCAGTTTTCAGGAAGCAGTCCTACCCCAGCCCAAGCTTCCCAGAGTCAAGCCTTAATCCTTCTCACTTCTCAGTGTCAGAGCAGAAATGAATCTTGGGGTTCACTCTGTCCATTCAGGTTATTAGTGGCTAAGAAGCCCAGATGAGTGGTATGAGCTGCCTTGGGAGCCTCAGTGAGGGCACTGGGACTGGCCTCACTCTCTTGCCCCCAGCCTAGTGTGCTTTCTCCTCTGTCTCTCCGGTGGCCCCAGGCAATTGACTGCATCACGCAGGGACGTGAGTTGGAGCGGCCACGTGCCTGCCCACCAGAGGTCTACGCCATCATGCGGGGCTGCTGGCAGCGGGAGCCCCAGCAACGCCACAGCATCAAGGACGTGCACGCCCGGCTGCAAGCCCTGGCCCAGGCACCTCCGGTCTACCTGGACGTTCTGGGCTAGGGGGCCGGCCCAGGGGCTGGAGTGGTTAGCCGGAATACTGGGGCCTGCCCTCAGCATCCCCCATAGCTCCCAGCAGTCCCAGGGTGATCTCAAAGCATCTAACTCACCCTCAGCATGCGGGAGGGGACAGGTGGGGGCTGGGAGTAGAGGATGTTCCTGCTTCTCTAGGCAAGGTTCCGTCATAGCAATTATATTTATTATCCCTTGGCTGTGTCTCTTGCCAATTCTTGGGATGACGTCGTTCCAGGAGGGAGGCATTGGGATTCAGGTAAGGGGACAGCTCTCTGGGATCCTCCCCCACTCAGGTTCCCCTCAGCTGCCTACCCCTACTCCATGGACCTGTCACTCTCACCTTTGACTATAGGTTGGATCCCAGTCCCGTGGTCACCTGGCTCACCTGCTGTTGAGGCAGCCTCTGGTCAAACTTCCCAGACCTTGAGAGCCTAACTGCCAATCTTTGTAGTTCATGTTCAGGAAGGCTGGTGCTACAGTGGAAGGGGTGGAAGTTAGATGTACTGGTAGACAGGATGGGAGCATTGATGGGGTATCTTTCTTGTGTTGGTGTGTCCAGGACAGAGCAGGCATGTAGCAGCAGATGAGAGAGAAACGTGTGTGTGTGTGTGACAGGAACAGGGAGGGAGCTGGACTAAGGATTGGTGGAGGCAGGACCCCTTATTCCTGTCCCTCTGTTACTCTTCTTAGCTCCAGGTGCTTTGATTAGCATCTGGAGGCCAGGAACTGTGTAAAGTGGCTATTTCCTAAGGACAAAGCCATCTCCCTGTCCCATTCTGTCCAAGGGAGTAGGTGAGGTCACCCCTCTCCTCTGTCTCTTGGAACACCACTGGCCTTAACTGAGTGGTCTGAGGCTCTGTCAGCAGCACTGAGACTGGGCCCCATCAGGTCAGGGCGTCTGGGCCCTGTCTCCACCTTCCCTAACCCAAAGGCTTGCATTCCACCCAGAGCCAGGGGGGAGCAGCTTCCCCACCACCCTCAGCCCTATCACTTCCAATCACCTGTCCAGTTCCTGCAATAACACAAGCTTCCCATGGCTCCTCAGGGCTAATCACATGGCTGTCTCATGTCCCTGGGTGCCAGTTCCACCCCACCCCCACCCCCATGATTCAATCTGTGTCTTATCACCCCTAGGCCTAGCCCGGTGGTGTGTCTGTCTCTTGTCCAGGCTGGTTAGTGCTAATGGAGGACTGACCCAGGGCTGCAGGCTGATCGGTGGGGGGATTAGGGTGTGTGTGTGGTTGGCCCCTAAGGGCCAAGTTCACGGGCCTTCCTCTCCTGCCGGGTATGGGTGGGGCTGGTGCCGCATCACCCCTATGAGGGAGGGCACTTAAAACAGGTGGAGCCATGGCCGGGCGCGGTGGCTCAAGCCTGTAATCCCAGCACTTTGGGAGGCCGAGACGGGTGGATCACGAGGTCAGGAGATCGAGACCATCCTGGCTAACACGGTGGAAACCCCGTCTCTACTACAAAATACAAAAAAACTAGCCGGGCGAGGTGGCGGGCGCCTGTAGTCCCAGCTACTTGGGAGGCTGAGGCAGGAGAATGTTGTAAACCCGGGAGGCAGAGCTTGCAGTGAGCCAAGATCTGGCCACTGCACTCCAGCCTGGGCGACAGAGCGAGACTCCGTCTCAAAACAAACAAAACAAAAAAAAACAGGTGGAGCCATTGGGAGGAAAGGGCTTGGGAACATGGTGAGGGATGCAGAGTTGGGGGATCAGATCCAACAGGTGAGCCCAGGGACGGATGCAAAGGGAGAGACAGTGCAGAGAGAGACAGGGACAGGACGTACAGACATGGCCACATAGAGAGAGACTGCAGAGGGAGATGTAAAGACTGAGACATGCAGATAGAGAGAAAGATGGAGACAGACACACAGACATAGCCGGACACACATGGAGAGAGAGGGTGAGACCAATGCTGCAAACAGACACAGGTAGGGCAGTGGCTCAATCGAAGGAAGTCCAGGAGGACATCATGGGCTCCCCAGGGGGCTTTCCACCTCACCTGCCCCCTCACCTCTGCCCTTTGAGCCTCTCTGCAGGGGCTAGGAGAGGATGGGACACCTAGACTTGGAGGCTCTGTGGGTAGAGACAGGAGGGGACCTGAGGTTTGGCCCATATAGAACAGGATTGGGGCATCACTAAAGAGCTGGTTTGGAGGTCAGGTAGCACCAGGCAGCTGCCAGGGCATGTGAACCATTTTCAAGGTTATCAGGCCTCAGGCGTGAGGACATCAGAGGCTCTTAAACCGTAACCAGAGGTATCGTTGGAAAAGCTGGGCAGGTGAGGTGAGGGATTCTGGGAATAAGGTTTGGACAGGGAAGGGAGAAGGAACTGGATATCTTTCTTTTTTTTTTTTTTTGAGACGGAGTCTTGCTCTGCCGCCCAGGCTGGAGTGCAGTGGCCGAATCTCAGCTCACTGCAAGCTCCGCCTCCCGGGTTCACGCCATTCTCCTGCCTCAGCCTCCCGAGTAGCTGGGACTACAGGCGCCCGCCACCTCGCCCGGCTAGTTTTTTGTATTTTTAAAGTAGAGATGGGGTTTCACCGTGTCAGCCAGGATGGTCTCGATCTCCTGACCTCATGATCCGCCCGTCTCGGCCTCCCAAAGTGCTGGGATTACAGGCTTGAGCCACCGCGCCCGGCCCTGGAACTGGATATCTTTCATTGATCTGGGAGCAGGGGCTGGAGCCTGCCACTCCAATCCCTTCAGGTAGATCTGGACCTGGGGCTTTGTCTTGATTGGTGAGGAGGGGGCTTGTACCCATATTTCCCTCCCCCGAAAGCACCCCATTCTCTCCCCTTCACTGATGGACACAGAAGTGCACATTTGTGTCCTAGCTGGCCTACTCCCACACAGCCTAGACACACATGTGCAAACACAGACACATGCACACACATACACAGACACAGAGCCCCCCTCCCCAATCACTCATAGCTGTTGGATTCCACTGTCATTAACAGTGCCCCCCTCCACCCCGCTGTGGCCCTTGCCCCCTCCCTGTTAATTACCTCCTGGCTGTGCCAAGTCCATTAGCGGCCCCCACCCTGACATACCCCAGGGGCTGAGCACCAGCTGAGATGGATTGCTGCTGGGGGATCGATGGAATGGGGCCCCAAGGACCCCACTGGGGGCTGGGACCAGGACAACAACCTGAAGCTGTAAAGATTGGACATTTGGGTTCCCCCCAACCTGGCCCAGGCCCCTTCCTTTTCAGAGAGGGCTGTCTTGGTTGAAAGACAGAGGCTCAGAAAGGGTCGTGGGCACCTCAGGAACACCCAGCATTGAAGAAAGGAGCTGGAACTCTCCTGTCTAAGCAAGCCTCTGCCTGCTCCTCCGCATTTACTCTAGAAGGAAACACTCAGTGGTGCAGAGACCAGACGGGCTCCCCAGGAGCCTCCAGCACTGGGATGGGGTCTCTAAAGAACCCAGGGGTGCAAGCCACCCTCAACCCCTTCAGCCTTCCTCAGGAGCCTCTGCCTCCTTCCTGCCCTGCTCCCACAGGGGCTGGTTTCCTGACAGGAGAGCAGAGCATCTGTCCAGGCTTCCAGGAAAAGGACAGGCAGAGTGCTAGGACAGCCCTGGTGAAGAATGACCCAGCCTGTGCCCTCTTGGATCCCCAGGCCAAAGATAGAGCCTAGATAGAATTCCAGACGACAGAGGCCCTGGCCTTTCTAAGTACCAGCTGGAGAGAGCCTGTCTTGCCAAATTCCTGAAGCAGCATTGGACAAGCTGCCCAGCAGGGGTAGGGAAGGGGGATTCTTCTGGTAGGAGCCAGGACCCAGGAATCCAGACCTTCAGCCCGCTGCTTACTGAACTGCCAGGCGACTCAGGCACCCCTGGGATGCTGGGGAGTGAGGTGGCCCCGTTGCTCTAAACAGCAGTGCCCTCCCAGACTGTCTCTCTCTGTCTTCCACTCCCACCCCATTGCTGACGGGCTCCCGTGCTAAGATGGAAAGTTTGAGCAGCAGTGGCTCTAGAGTGGTGGGCAGGAGGGAGATCTGGAGGCAGGAAAGAGAGACAAGACAGGCCAGAGCTGCAGGAGGAGCCCACACGGGGGCAAGGAGGGGCGGAGAGGAGAGGCAACCCAGACCCATGCAGTGACTCAGCCCTGCATGTGCAGGGAACAGAGAAGAAGGCAGAGAGCCTGAGATACAGGACAGAACCCAAGAGCCACAGAAGCAGAACCTCAGAGGCCATGCGCTTTCCATGAGCCCTGCTTCTAGTCCAGTCCTGGGGAGGAGAGGCTTTTGAGCCCACCTCCCACTGAACTGGGCCCCCTTCCTCTTCTTAAAGGGCTATGTTTCCTGGTGGTTAAGCCTCTAGACTCTGGAATCTGGTTGTGCCATTTACTAGCTGTGTGACATTGGGCAAGTTACTCAACCTTTCTGTACTTTGGTCTCCTCCTCTGCAAAATGAGGATAATAATAGCAATAACCTCGCAGGACTGTTATGAGGTTTAAACAAGTCTCATGTGGAAAGCTTTCCCTGTAGGGCCTGGCCTTAGTAGCTGCTATGTAAAAACACTCTTTCCCCTCCTTCCTTCCCTCCCTATTCTTCCTCCTCCTCTCTATCCTGCCAGCCCAGGCCCTAGCCCTGGTATGTGGGCGGTGAGGCAGGTTGTATGTTTTGAAGGGATAGTGCTTGCAGAAGAGAAGCTCTTACTCCCTGATCCCAACCACTCCCTCTAGCTGCAGGAGACTTGCCAGTCCCCTGCTGCAGAGAGTGTGAGGTGAGGAAGGGGCTTCTCCCTCCCTCCGACACCCTGTGGGCTCCGGGTCCCTGCACTGATCCAGAAGGCCCTGATGCAGGAAAAGCCTCCAGCCTCCCCTGCCCCGTGTCCCTCATTTACTCTTCTCCTACTCCCTGATTTTCCCTAGTGAGAGTTTCTCTCTCAGCTCACCGCTTCTGGGCAGCCCTCAGGGATTGGACAGGGATCTTTGTACCCTTGAAGGGTGCTTCTGAGGGCACAAATCCTCATAGACCCTGAGACAGGTCTCCAAGAGTATGGACCTGGGAGCGGGAAACATGCGTCCAAAGCTTTGTATCCCTTATCCCTGTGGCTTCCCGTTCCTGAGTGCCGGGAAGTCCTTCCTTACAGTCTACCCTCCTGCTTCCCACCTGGATCTGAAGGGGTTACTCAGCTCCAGGCCCGCCCACGGCAGGTCCCAGCTGCCTGGGGCCTGTGGTCAGA